AGCAATAGCACCGTGTAGTCACTTAGAGATACTCCTCGCGGATCAGAAGCAAGCAAATATTCACAAATTGAATCAACACAACTCAAACAAAGTAGCTTCTTGGCTCCAGAACTCCCGACTTCATTTCTGGTAGTCGCCTATGCAATCTAAAAAGGTATCTCTCAATAACAAGGTGTATCAATCTTGTCTTCGTTCTCGTTGAATCGTAAAACGGCCCTTCCATTACTTCCACGGCCCTCGTCATTCACCATTCACCTCGCCGCCAGCTCGGCCGCTATCCATAACTTCTTTTTAAAACCCGTAACCATAATCCGTAATCCGTGATTCATAAACCAGAAATCCATTAGCCGTAAACACCATGATATCCGTGATCCCATTACTCCATACTCTTCATACAGCGTATCAATCTGTCGTCGTTAAATCCGTTGGTAAAATGGGTTGGTAGTTGAATGAAAATAAGGAATATGTACAAGCTAAATAGCAAAATAATATGTAATATGTAAAAGCCACTACAACTCAGCGCTTGAACAGTGAACTGCTATTATGAGGCAGAGGCGCCGAAATAAGCTGGCCTCTAGCTCTCTTGTCGTAAGCGCGCAGCTTCTTCGGGTTGACGGTGTACTTGCTGTAGCGCTTGACGCCGAGTCGTTCGTCGTCATTTCGGCCGGCGCTAAAAGCCCATCGGCCCTGTCTGTGCCAGTCTTTACCGATATCGAGGTTCCCGGCGAGGTCGTGGGACTCCAAGACCATGTGCAAGTCGAACGCCTCGTCAGTACGCAGCTGTTCGTCGCAACAAAAGCTAATGATCTCGGCTAGGCAGGTGACGGCATGGGGGAGGCAGAACTGTCGCCTCTTGGGTACCAAGCAGATGAGCCCGCCTACGTATAGGAAGAGGAGGGCAAGAATAATGGCGAAAGCAGGTACATTGGGATACATGCGTACTTCTCCGGAAGGAGGAGTTAGGGCCATGAACAGTCCACCAGCCAAGACCGGTAGAAGGGCAAAAAATATGGATAGAAAAGACACGACGGCTACCCGCCAATGCTTGTTCTTCAAAGCCTTGTAAGTCGACTCGAAAGGGAGACAGGTAGAGTAGTCCAAGAGAAGCGAGGTCTCCGCTCGTGATCCTTCCGGACGTGCAAGTTCACCCCACGGGGTTAGGATCCGCAATGTTAGGTCCAGGGACTGAAACATGAGGAATAGCAGGAGCCCGAGAAGCGAAGGGACAAAAGAATAGACGAAGTTGGCTGCCGAAAATGCGCCTGTGACAGGAGCAGGGCTTATTTGGGGCAGGAAACCGTTGCGTATATCCGTAGCAGGGATAAACGATACAATGATCAAAGCGAGCAGAAGAATCGAAGATGCAACGGCGAAGAAAACGATCTGGCCATCTCGAAAGCACCACGGAAGGTAGCGGTAACGGATGCTAGGGCTCAGGGGTTGCTCGCCGGCCTCCAAGGGGGCTTCTTGTTGACTGGTCCATCCTGGATTATCCGTCTTTTCGGTTATAATATCTTCAGCGCCGGTCGATACTCCGATGCCGTACCACGTTCCGACTTTTGGTGCTTCAGGGGAGAACCAGAATCCAAGCCTTTCAGCAGTTCCACCCAGTTTCTGCCACATGCTTTCGCGTGTTGCTGCCGTCTCGAGCCCGCGGTATCGATGCAACGAATTGCTTTGGGATATGAGAAAAATGATATCTGCTAAAGTTCGAAGACTCCAGGGTCGCATCATCCCAGTTGTCCGCCGATGCCAGAACACGACCATTACGACCAGTGCCAGTAGAAAAGACACATATAGTGCCACCAACGTCCACGCCACACCCTGTACTGTTGCCCAGGTCCAAGTCCCGTCCACGAAAATGACGGTGAAGAGACTGCTTTGTAGCGGGATTGTGAAGTTCAAAAGCCAAACATTAAATATGGGTATCCAAATATTCCAGTTCCCAACGAGTTGGGGCCAGAGAAACGACTTGGGGAATAAAGGCAAAAAGACAGCATCTCGTCGTTCATTACGATTATCCGCGGCCATGTTAGAAAATGGCAAGACCCAGAACGCAGCAGTAATAACACATTGGGCATAGATTAGGATAATTATCGCCAATAGCTGGGGCAGCATTCGGAAAAGGAAATACTGGCCACCGTAGATTGTACCGGCGTATGGCGTTAAGCCATTGCGGCCCATGGAGTAGACAGCGCAGAACACGAGAGCCGCAACCATCAATAAGCACAGCATTCCCAAAAGTAACAGCGATTGCGACCGTAGGACCCAGGGCTTCAGCGTCAGGGGCGCTTGATACTGTAAGGCTTTCCCACAATGGTGCAATCCCGTCTCGGAATCGATCAGTATATCTGACCGGGGCTGCCAGTGGTCTAAATTTCGCGGTAGGGGAAGGTTTGAGTCCGGTGGTCTCTTTTCTAGTTTGAGGCGCTCGTCGTGTGTTTGAGGAATGGGCCTGATGCGAGCTTTATAGGCTTCGTTTTCGTCGGTAGTATCCGGAATTACATCCCAAAGAGGTTGGCTTGCTAATTCTGCTCGACGTAGCTGCTCCGGCCATCCCTGACGTAAATCCTCTGCAGTGGTGTTCGGGGGCAGAGCAATAACGCGAGGGCCTGGAACTAAGGGCCATTGCTGAGGATCATTGTTGCCTCTAACTGCTTGCGGAGGTAATTGCACCGAGGGCGGTCTGAAGGGATTCGGGACCGCAGTTGGTGTAAAGTGATACGGTGATCGAACTGATTCATCACTGCTAGAGGAAGGGTATCCTGATGCTTCTCGATCTCTAGTAAGGGCATCTAGAGCATATTGAATATAAGGACCATCATCAACTCCAGGGGTAACAACGCCGGCGGCTCTTGCGAGATCATCTTTAAAATCATCCGCAGACGTGGTGTCTCGAAACATAGCCATAGGCGGATATTGTGGTTGGTCGAAGCGGGCACCCGGGCTTGATATTAGCGAGCGATCGGCATTCTCTGGTGCCACTAGCGGGGGCCCGAAAAGTCGGTCCGGGCCGTAGATCTCTGATTCGGAGGATTCTGAAGGAGCGGAAGGAGCTGATGGAGGAGTGGGCGCATAGGGTACAACGGTCGGCTGCGAAGACGGAGGCGAGGGATCTTGAGTAGATGTGCCGGGCCCAGGCCGCGAGTTAAGATGGTGAACGACAGTGACTTGTGACGTTGTTGTTGGGGGAGAGACGTCAGAATTGGGTATGTTGGCTCTATAAGAAGGGTTCGGTCCTAAAAAAAAAAACAAGAGTAAGCTAAAGAGAAAATAATGTAAGAATATAAGCTGGCATACGATTTAGTTCGACGTAGTCGGGGCCGTAGTTGTGGGAACTCATGCTTCGTCCTGTCGGTTTGTCCTGCTAAAGGCGACAGCGACAATTCCGCTTGGACAAGTTGGCCAATTGTTTGTTCAGTAGTACGAGTAGTACGAGTAGCACGAGTTGGTGTTTCTTAGGTAGAGATAGACGGAAGAGTACATGAGGAGAGATACAAAGTCTGAAATATGGTTGGAGGTTGGGCTATCTCATCCTGCATATCGAGAGGCTGGTTTGCGGTGAGGTTGGGCAGCCCCCCAGCCACCGCCGGATGAAGCCCATAAGGTAGATGGAACCGGAGATTATAGATATCTATGTAAATGAACCGACGAATGTAAAGTCTATTATTATACTAGATGCGTCTTATATCATTTTTACTATAATAAAATATGATATAAAATAGAATATCTGGTGAACTATAACCTATCAATGAAGTGATTGTATGTGTAAATGTGTAGATGTATTGATAAAGAATTCGATACCAACGGTGAGGGGCAGTGGAACAGGGGTATAAGAGTGGGGAACTGCCAGCAAAGCTTGACCCATTTACATACAGAAGCTTGTGTGGGGCATCTTGGCAAGGCAGCTAGCACTTGACAGCTCACATAATCCCTATTCTCCACGCTTATTGGTTTATGCTTCAATTCTTTTCTTTAACCTACACTAACTAGTCCTGCTGGCAACTCTTATGAACGTTCACTTCCCGTTGCGCTGTCATACTTTTATAAACCGGGAACAGCCCAGGACAAGTTCGGTCCAGAGAGGTCTCGTAGGAAAGATTAACAACTATCGAGTATCAATATACATGATACAGAATTAGATCATAACAGCTTGATCTACGGATAATCATGCATGTTCGATAGGGCTGTATAAATTCTGCAAGCCACTTGCGCCACCGCGACGCCGACATCATTAGTTAGATGAATCCTAACTTCAAATCTAATATACCTATAGCATACACGGCTAAAACTCACAGGTGACCGGTTCTATAGTCATAATTTTGACTATATGAGTATTCGATTAGATCTCAGCAACGTATCCGATGCTTCTCAATTTTTCTCCCTTGACATGAGTTTATGTGTCGAGGGAGTTCTTACCTTGATTTATGCGAAAACTTAGGGAGTTTCAAACCGAGGAGTGTAGAAAATCCACACTAGGAGGTTATGAACCCTTAGGATCTGACGATGGACATTTGCTGTTTGGAGGTATTAGGGGTCTAAGAATTCGTTCTTTTCCTCCCCGGCGTTATCTGTCTCGTCCAAGGCTTGAAGCAATCTCTCGTAGCAATGAGACTCAAAAGATTTGATCTCAATACTATCAAGAGGAATTCTTCGTCAGGCGTGCGGCAGGGCCGTCATATAACAGTACGTTCCGAGGTACTGTTAATATTCCTCGCGAAATCTCGATCTCCCCTGCGATGGAATGGATGTGCGTGGGAAAATGTGTGTTTGGAGATGGACCTCCCTCTCTGGCTTCATTATAGCTAGGCTCCCTGAGACAGGACGATTCCAACAGGGATATCTCAACACTGATAACATTGCCTGTCTCAGAAAGATGTGTCCTTCGCAACGCAAGACCACTACGATATGGTATTTTCCTTATTCTATAGGCTGATTAGATCGACACTACAGGAGCGCCATGTTCTGGGGGAGACTGGAGCATGTCTGATCTCCCCTTAAAATTTGGTGTACCAACATAACATAACATATACGTATATAATAAGCAGTCGATCCCGTAATGTCATGATTATAATACTTCACCATCAAGGCAATTGGAAGGGAGCTGAACTATAGAGCAGCAGCGAAGGAAGCTCTTCAGTACAGATATCGCAGCTCCAAGATAAGTTGATCAGCTAGTCTACCGCCAATATGTGGAATCAAGTCGTTCTTGCGGCTCTTATCCCGGCTATGATGGCCAAGCCCATCGCGTAAGTCGCCCTCGTGCTCTTTTTTTTTTTTTTTTTTTTTTTTTTTTTTTTTTTGCGATTCGCTCTCTAACGAAACCAGGCCACGAGGCGAAATGACTGGTGTGCAAGAGTCTCATGATTCCCCGGTCTTTGATTCTGCCGTACTTCGCAATAACACATTGATGGCAATCGCCAAGGCCGTGGAGCTCGAGAACTCCGATTCGGCCGTGGAGGAGACATCACAGAACAATCAAATGACCCAAGCCGAGCGTCGACAGATTAGTCCCAGCCAGATCTCTGACCTTTCGAGCCGTGCCGCCTCTACCATCTTCAACGGGGCTTCCGCAGGCGTCATGTCGTGGGCGACTAGCGTTGGTAATGCTATGTCCACCAATCACCCTCTTGTGCCGCGCGCTAAGAAAGGGAGCAAACCGAAAGCGACCCCAACCCCTACTCGTACTACTTCAGCTTCTGGTACTGCTACCGCTTCAAATTCTACCCAGGCCACTGCATCTCAGAACTGTAACTGTATTAGTGCCTGTGCCAGCGAGGACGGAAAGGCTACTCAGATGGGGTGCATGAAGAAATGCTCAAAAGATTGCGATGGCGACGATGACAAGGAAAAGAATAGCGATCTTCTCAAGTCTCTCTTAGGAAGTCTTGGTGGGAGGAGCATCCCGGCGCCACCTCCCATGCTTCCCCATCGCAAGTTCACCCGCCCACGTCCAGCCAAGACCGTGCATGAAGCTGCCGGTGCCGAGTTCGAGGACTTCGAAGCTTGCATGAACAACTGCAAGACTCACAACTGCCAGCACTCTGAAGTCGGAATCTCTATCTCGCAGTGTGGCGACACCTCATGCGAAGATGCATGCGCCAAGTTCAAGTCGTCCAAGTCTAGGTACAGCAAGAGCATTCAGAAGAAGCATGTTCGCCCTGTTGCCGACCGTGTGAAGGCTGACACGCCGCTCCCCAAGCCAAAGAAGCCTGTAGCTGCTGCTCAACACAACGAAGCCTTCGAGAAATGCATAAAGAAATGTCAGAGCCACAACTGTCAACACTCCGAAGTTGGAATCTCTATTTCTCAATGTGGTGATACCTCGTGTATGGAGTCGTGCGCCAAGTACAAGGAAGGACAGTCTATGGTCATCACTAGACAGGCTAGACACCCTGGAAAGACTGGCGACGTACCTGACGTGCCTGATGTTCCCGCTGTCCCTACTGTCCCTGATGTTCCTGAAGTACCTCCTACACCTGAAGTCCCTGAGGTCCCGGCCGTTCCCGCCGTCGCTGAAGTCCCCGAAGTCAAAGGCGGGCCCATGAAGGCTGCTGCCCCTGCCTCTACCCCTGCTCCCGCCCCCGCTACCCCCGGCTCGCCCAAGCACCGCGGTCCATCCACCGGCCACAAAGACACCCCCGTCAAAGGCGTAGCCCAAGAAGGCGAGTACGAAGCCTGCCTCAAGGAATGCAAAACGCACAACTGCCAAAAATCCGGCGTCGGCATCGACATCGAGCAGTGCGGCGACACCTCCTGCGTCGACGCCTGCGCGTCTTTCAAAGAGTCCGTCCACGCCGGCGTCAGCGCGCACAAAGTCAAAGTCCCCTCTGCCCCCGGCCGTCTAGAAGACCATCCCGGCCCCGACCCCCCGGTCGTCAAGACGGTGCCTGAGGCCAGCGCGCACGAGAGCAAGGAGTTCCAGGACTGTGTGAAGCAGTGCAAGACGCATAACTGCCAGAAGGCGGATATTGGGCTCGAGGTCTCGCAGTGTGGGGACACGTCGTGTTCTGAGTCGTGTGCCCATCTCAAGGAGGGTAAGGCGGCGCATATTGCTGGTGAGCCGAGGGCTATGGATACTACCGCTGCGGGGATGGAGATGGATATGGATGTGGAGATGACGACTGCGGCGGCGCCTGCATTTACGCCTATGCCGGTTTCTGCTTAGGTTTAGGGGTATTAGTTGGGTTTTACTTCTTTTGTATTTGGTCTGTTTATTACCGTTGGACAAGAATCAAAAAATTAACATGAAATGGAGGATTGGTCGACGGAAATGCTTTTTACAATGGCAGGACATAATGGGGCTTCAATCTCCAGTGTGTTCTCATGACCGGATGACTCCGATGGATTAGGTTACGAATTGTTGCGAAATTTTCTATTCTATATCTTATAAGACTTCATTCAATTTGGGTATCAAATAAGGGGGGTGAGATGGCGATAGGGTGGGATTTCATTTTGTATAGGTAGCTTACCTCCTAAGCTGAGCTTAATCGCATTTTCTATGATTACATCTTCTCACATTTTAACATCAATAAAAGATAGGTTAGGTAGTTATTACTCACTGCCTAAACGCCCGAGAAATATCTGGGTTACTTCTGTTGCGTATCTCGCGCCTTAGATTTTTGATCTCATATCTGCCCAAGCATAACTCATCTCCGCAAAGCCTCCTCAAGCGTCTTCCCCGTCAACCTCCTAAACACCTCCGCGTACCTCTCCCCAGTCGCCTTGAGCACATCCTCCGGCACCTCGACGCCGTCCTTCCCCTTGAGCCCGTTCTCCGTAAGCCAGTTCCGCAAGAACTGCTTGTCGAGGCTCTCCTGGTCGCGGCCCGGCTCGTACTTGTCCTTGGGCCACATGCGCGACGAGTCCGACGTCAGCACCTCGTCGACGAGCACGACCTCGTCCGCGGCCGAGTCCAGCCCAAACTCGAACTTGGTGTCGGCGATGATGATGCCCCGCTCCGCCGCGTACTCCTGGCCCGCGCGGAAGATCCTCAGCGCGAGGTCCTCGATCCGCGAGGCGTATTTCTCGCCGACGATCGCCGCGGCTTGTTCCCGCGAGATGTTCTCGTCGTGCTGGCCCAGCGGCGCCTTGGTGCTCGGCGTGTATATGGGTCCGCCGGGGATGGCGTCGCACTCGCGCAGGCCGGGGGGCAGGGGGGTCCCGTGCACGGAGCCGTGGGCTTTGTATTCCTTCCAGGCGCTGCCGGTGAGGTAGCCGCGGACGATGGCCTCGATGGGGAAAACCGTGAGCTTGCGGACCTGCATGCTGCGGTTGCGGATGACTTGGGCTTCCTCGGGGGTGACGGCGGGGGGGACGTCGGTGGTGAGGAAGTGTGTTTTTAGGCCGGGGACTTTTTCCGACAGGACGTTGAACCAGTGGACGGACTGCAGGGTTAGCAGGGCGCCTTTGTTGGGCACGCCGTTCTTCATGACGACGTCGTAGGCGGAGATGCGGTCCGTGGTTACGAATAGCAGGGTGTTGTCGTCGACGGTGTATAGGTCGCGGACCTTGCCCGTGGCGAGCTTGGGGAGTGACGTCAGAGTCACTTCTGTGAGGACATTGTTGGAAGCCATATTCGCTTCTCCTTTTTCTCTTCTTCTTTCAGAAATCCTTGGGCTAACTGTAGTCGCTTGGATTCTAAGATATAGGTAGGTGCCTATATAGGTATCTACGAGATCCGAATTGGCGATGCGCTCAACGTATGATAATGTGATGGTGATGGTGATGGTGATGGGTGGTGATTAACCTAATCTTGTAAGTCGATTAAATGAGCGAAATGATTGGTGCGCTGTTTTCGTCGTTACCCCAGACGAAGCGTTTTCTCGAAAACTTTTGCTGGAACTACTGTAGATCGGAGCAAATCGGCGTCTTTTTTTTTTTTATAAAAAAAGTCAGTGTGACTACTACTAACTAATGGATATTGGATATGGGATATATGAAAAATTTTAATTTTATTAAGCGGTTATATATATATGAATTTTCCTAATTGCATCTTGTCATATAATCTTATAGACTAGGTAATAAAGGGCTTTTTTTGATAGTGCTAATATTATTGACCGTGTTGTTTGATGAGAAAGTCGAGGTTATTATCTCCCCACACAATCAATCGTACGGCTTCATTGGCGTCGCAAACGTGTGCGAGTATCCACGTACCCTTGATACACGTACAGTACGTCATTCCACTATTTGTTTCAAGTTCGAGTACTAATTATGTACAAAGGTATTTTAAACTTTGCAATGTTTCAAGTATCCGATCAACTTAGGTGCATGTATTTTATACGAGTTAAAGTATGTCTTGTGGAGAATGTCTTTTATATCCTCATCTACCTAACCTCACTATGTTTATTTCCACCGACTTGACTTGAGATCTTAACTTGATTTTAAAAAGTACATTGTGTTAAAACACGTACCAATACCGCCAACCGCCAACCGCCAACCGTACCTAGGTACCTATATTCGATAAGATTTATATAGTTCTCGTAGCTATAAGCCTGGAGAGGAGAAATACTTCCAGGCTATGTAGTAAGTACAACCATTCTTAACAACTAAATACTATACACCATATGTGTTATCTCATGCTATCTGGTATAAATAATGGTATCTCTGCTATAAAAAACAACAACAGTCACCCTCCCCAAATCCTCAATCAACAAATGGATATATCCTCCACCTTACACGCCCCCTTCTCAACCCGCTTCTCAACCTCCCGTCCCGTAACCCAATGCACATATGCCTCGCCTATGACCTGGAACCTCCCCTTCCCGATCTCAACGCCCTTCTCCTCAACCCCATCACCCCCAACTCTTCTCAAGAGTAGCGGGGCATCACACCCGCCCACCATAGCTAAAACATCCCCTTCCCTAGCCGCAGCCGGCACCAGCCCCAAGAACCCCGTGCTAGTAACCACCAGTCTCCTCCACCCCAGCGCCCGCATAGCCTGCGTCAGTGCCTCGCGATGCGCCGTCGTAACCCTCAATATCCTAGGCCGAGCCTGCGCCGACTCCTTTACCCTCCTCCCGATATCCGCGCTCCTACTTAGATCGCGTACTAGGGAATCCAGTGTCCACTGGTCGAATAGCTGGAGCGCGCGATTGCGCTGGTAGAAGTCTTTCAAGCCGAAGATGTTGTTGTCGATGCCGTTGATGCCCGTGTCCCAGATCGTGGGGTGCATTACTGCGGTGGCTAGGGATGGGTTGTTGATGTTGGGGTTATGACTGTCGCTGGCATTATCGCTCTTGGATTCGAAATCCCCAGTTAGTGTCCGGGCCAAAGCTTCTCGCGTCGCGGCACGATCACCGTACGCGCTTTTTGGGGGCTCGGGCGCGCTGCGAGGGTACGACTTATCGGATTCGGTGGCGTGGCAGGCGCTGAGGGTGGTTATCGTGTCAAACACGACGCCCTTAACGATAAGCACGTTATCATCTGTGATGTGCGGCGCTGCAGGTATGAGCGCCGGAAGGGATAAGGGTCGAGTGCGGCCGAGGAACGGCTGCGCGGGGTTCCGCGGACACGACCAGCAGATGACCCACGACGGCAAGCCGTGCTCGCAGCCGCGGTGCACGACGCGGTGGCCGTGGATGAATTTCGGCGAGCGCGGGCGAGAGAAGTGCTTGCTTTTGTAGTACCGGGTGCCGATCGCCGGGATAGGGCTGTTCACGAGTCGGAGACCGTTTACGTTGCCGCTTGCGAGGAGGCGTGCCGAGAAGAGGATGAAAGTCTCGGGTGCCGTGCGGTTGTAGTCCGGAACGAGCTGGATGGTGTTTGCGATCTGCGGTAGACCGAGGATACCGTAGACCCGATCGCGTTCGTCGGTGGCATTAGCTTCACGGCTGACGAGTAGACAGTCGTATACGCCGTTATGCAGTGCCGATAAGTCTATATCGAAGAACTTGAGCGCTGTTATCGCGATCGGCCGCTCCCACAGCTTCTCCGAGATCCCGTACGTGTCTTCGGCTATGAAATTCCATCTCTGGTGGGTTCTGCTCGGCCCTTTTGCAGCGAAGATTATATACTGGCCTAGCGCGTCGCCGTCTGTCTTCATCACCCTCAAGGCATTGAAGATATCTTTCAGCAAGATAGAGCTATTACCACAAATAACAGGTGAGTTTCGAGACCCCAGGACAACTTCCTGGATAATCCAAAGCCTACGCCAGTACGGTCTAGCAAGGAGGTGGTAGATCGCATTTAGTACGGCTTTCCGTATGCGCAAGCTCGTGTGCGCATGCTTCCATTGCATAAACGGCATCCGGACGATATAAAACTCAACATGCTTATACAGTTTATCCAGAACATCTTCATCCTCAGAATGGAGACTCATGTACCTGAGCGCCAGCGTCGCTAGATCGCTGCGGTTCTCGTCAGGGCCGAGCCAAATGACGACGTGCCACGCGGCCTGGTATATATCCTTCATTTTGGCGACCTGAGCAGAGCGCTCGTCTAGATCTTCTTGGTTGATACATAGCGCATCGACCCAGACTAAAAAGCCTTGTTGTATGCGACTGTGGTGTCGTAGTTCTCGTAGAGCACCCTCGAGACTGGCTGTTACGGAGACAGGTACGCCGTCGACGATTATTTCGCGCCTGATGGATTGGTCGCCCCAGACGTAAGATAGGGCGACGAAATCACCCCAGGTGTATCGCCAGGGTAGACTAGCTTCTTCATCCTGGCTTGGGTTCCACGCTGTTACCGTACGATCTCCGACCTCTGGTGGGCTTTCCCTAAGACAACTGGGTCCCTCGAAGTAAGGTATTATTGGTAAATTGGCCAGCGGAGTCATGCGTTCCACCAAACTCTTTTCAAAGAGCGCGTTGAATCCCGTCGGCTGTGATGTCTTGGACTCGCTGTCAACAGCGGTGTCCACGCCCACTGGCCAAGTATCATTAGATCCCTTCGTCGCATTCCCGGCATTAGCAACGAGATCAGCCTCTCCAAGCGCAACATGCACAAGTTCGCAGTGAACCGGCCCCGTAGCGTGAACAGGGTCGTCCACCGGCGTCAGGAGTCGAATGACACGAATATCATGCTGGCCAAGCAACGGCCTATACTGTAATTTCTGCTGCATTTTCTAATTTCCTCCGCTCAAAATCCGTCGTTGAACGCTAAAGAAAGAAAAAAGACGAATGAATTCCCGCAGCGATTCATTGTTACCTGTTATATGAGGATATTTGTCAGCTCTCGTATAACGCAGTCGCGTTTCGTAACGAGGGCAACATACGTTAGGTAGTCTAATATGGGTTGAAATCCCACTCTAATACGGAGGTGTAATTATCTCAGTAAACTCAGACCACATTTCGTAAGGGCGCGGGCTGCGCCCGCACAGCCCTCGGCGCCACAGGCGCCTCGAAAACGCATGGCCCGTGTGTTTGTATCTGTGGGTCACGGGCATGCTATTTTATAAAACGTGGTCTGAGGTTGGCTTGGGCCCAAGCGTTTATTGCGGGGAGATTTTGGTAATAAATAATTAAATATTATATTTATAATAATTTAATATAATATAATAATGTATAAAATAGCTTTAATTTAAATAATTTAAAATTAATAATATATTATATTTATTTGTTTAAACTTTTTACATATTTATATAATATTACATTTTTATATTATAATTTTAAACGTTAAAATTGTTTTACGGTAATAATATTACCATTATTACCATAATTAATAATATATATAAATAAAATAAAACGAGTTATATTTTAACTTTAATATAATAATTTAAACCTTTTAACTTTTTTTATATATTTATATAATATTACGTTATAATATTATAAACTTTAATATTTAAAATTATATTAAAATTAATAATTATTTATAATAATATTTGTAATAACATTTATAATTACGTATAAAATAATTTATTTTATATTTAAAAATAATAATATTATTGTTTAATTTTTTTTGTTTTTTTTATATCCGTATAATTTTATTATAATTGTTATTATAATTAACGCGTTATAACCGGTAAATATTATAACCGGTAAATATTACGGTTATTTTTAACATTTTAAAAAATTTAAAATATATAAATTTAATTAATAAATTTAATAATAAAGTTAATATAATTATATAATTAATAATTATTTATTATAAAAACGCGTTAACGTTATTATTTTTAATAATTTTATTAATTAATTAATTATTATAATTAATATTATAATTAATATTATAATTAATATTATAACCGGTTACAATTATTATAACCACTTTTAACATTTTAAAAAACTTAAAATACGTAAATTTAATTAATAAATTTAATAATAAAGTTAATATAATTATATATAATTATTATTTATTATAAAAATGCATTAACGTTATTATTTTTTTAATAATTTTATTAATTAAATAATATTAATGTTATTTTTTATAAAACGATTTTTTAAAAAAAACATGTTTAAAATGACTTTAAATTAAAGTTTCGATTTTTTTTAAAAAAGGTTATACGGGTTGTGATTGGTTAAAAAAATGGTGTGGTTAAAAAAATATAACTTTATAAATTAAAAAAAATCGAAAAATTTAGTTTAAAGTCATTTAAAATAAAAGTGTAAAAAGAACATATTAAAAAAACTTAAATTTTATTAATACATTTACTTTATTTAAATTTTTATTAATATATATATAATTATTTAATAATAATATATAATTATTAAATATTAAAAAAATTTTTAATTTTTATAATTGCAATTATAAAATATATTAATGTTTTTATAATTATAAAAATTTTTTATTTTTTTTACTTACATTTATATATAATTGCATTTTAATATTATAAAATAAATAACTTTATTTAATTTATTTATAATAAAATTTTTAATTTTATTAAATTATTACGTTAAATCTTTACTTATATATAAAAATATTAAATAAATATATTTTAAAAAAAATAAATATAAATTATATTAAACTAATATTAATATAATTTTAAATTACCAAAATATTATTAATTTTATTAAATTACCATTATTAATTAAAAAAATTACCTTAATATTATTTTTAACTTAATTAAATTGTTAAACTTTTACGCTTATAATTTTAAATTTAAATAAAAAATATAAATTTAAAAAATGTTATAAATTATTTAAAAAAACTTGTAAAACTAGCGTAATAAATAATTGTAAACTTATAAAAATATACATTATTAAAATTAAAATTAATTTATATTTAAATAAATTACACCAAATTTTTATTTATAATAATTTTATTATAATTATAATTAAAATATATAAAATTTCGGTCGGATAAACTATTAAATTACTTATTAATATATTTATTTATAATAATTATTTAACATTAATTAAATATTTATTAGTTAAATTTTAAATAAAATTTAATTTTTGTTAAAAATAATAAAAATTTATTAATATAATTAATATAAATAATAATAAATAAATTAACACTTTAAATATTAATTATAATAAACTTTATATTATTATAAAAATTAAAAATAAATTTATTATTAAAAATAAAAATGGAAAAAAAAAATATTATTATTTAAATTTATATTCCAATAAAATTATTGCAAATTTTATAATATTAAAATAAAATTATATAAATAATTAAAATTAAAATTTAATTTTAACAAATAAAAGTAAAATAATAAAAAGTAAAATAAAAGCAATTAAAATCGAAAAAAATAAAAATAAACTTATTAAAATTAAATTAATTAAATAATAAACTTAAAAAACCATAAAAATAAAACAAAAAAGCAAAACCAAAAAAAAAAATTTAATTTTAAAAAAAATAAAAATTTTATTAAACAAATAAATACGTAATTTAAAAATTAAATTATTATTTTTTCATATAACATAAAATTAACAATACGTAAAAAAACATGCGTAAATATAAATTTATTAAAAGATTTAATAATTTGTTTAAAACGTAATTAAAATAATATAATTTAATTATTTATTTAATTAAACTCGATTATTAACTTAATCGTTTATTTATATTTTATTAAAATTATTTAAATTAATTTTAAAATTACATATAAATACTTTAAAATATTTTTAATTACCATTAATACATTTTAATTTAATAACTTTAAACTTAATTTTTTTAATTATATACGTTTTTAATTTATTATATAAACGTTAATATAACTTTAAATAAAATATATCTTTTTTATTTAATTTTATTTTTTTAAGTATATTATTAATATTAGTTAAAATTTTCTTATAAATAACCATTATATAATTTAAAAAATAAACGTTAAAATTAATATTATTAAAAATAATAAAATAATAAAACTTTTTTTATTTATTTTTGTTTAAAAAAACATAATAATCGATAATTTTATTAAAATTAAATAAATTATATAATATTTAAAATTTACTAAAAATAACGTAAAAATAATTATTTTATTTACATATATAATGAAAATTTTATATTTATATAAATTAAATAAACTCGGTTTAAATAATAAAAGTAAAAATATAAACTAAAATTATTTCATTAATTAACTTATTATATACTTAATATTGTTTATAAATTAATTATTTAAAATATTTTTAAAATAAAAATAATTAATATAAAATACATATAATAAAACTTAAATAAAATAAATTTATTTGTTAAAAAATAACTCGTCCGTTATATAATTAAAACCATTAACTTTTAATTTATTAATTAACAATATTTTTACCATATAATAAATAATTGTAAAAATAAAAAAAACCAACAAAAATATTAATTACTTTAATTTATATTTTACATTAATTAATTACGTAAATATTATTAACAAATATATAAAAATTTACTAATAAAAATTGTTTATATATAAATAAAATTAAATTAATATTAATTTAATTAAAATCGTTTATTATTATAAACTTTAAACACAAATAACGCATAATTTATATACTTTAAAATAAATAATAATAAACTATTATTATTAATTTAAACTTATTACCACGGTTTAATTAAATTATAAAAAAAATATATTTAAATTATTTAATAAAATATATATATTACGTAAATATTAAATAAATTATATAAATTAAACTATTATAATAAAACCAAATAATATACCGTAAATAAACATTTATAATTACATAAACTTTAATTTTATATGTTTTTAATTTATAATAAACATTAATAAATTAAATATAATTAAACTTAAATATAGTTTAATTGTTTTAACATTAAAATATTTTTATATAACATTATGTAATTTTTTTAAAATAAAATTCGGAAAAAAATTTCCATAAAACATACTCGGTTATATTTATTTATTATTAATAAATATATACATATAATATATAATAACTTATTTTTTTTATAACGTTTTTAATATATTATTTATTTTTAAAAAAATTTTATAATTTTTATAAACAAAATTTTAAACAAATAAAATTAAATCGTTAAAAAATATTAATTAACTTATAAATAATAATTACGTTTTATTTTAAAATAACAAAATCTTTATTATAAAACTAATTAATTAATTAATTATTATTAAAATTATATTCGAAAAAAAGTTTACAAATATAAGTTAAAAATTTATTAAACGGCTTTATTTTAATTATATTTTAACTAATTTACCATTATCAAAATCAATTAAAAAAAGTTTAAATTATAATATTAATATTATATTTTTAAAATAATATTAAACATATAACACTTAAAATTATTTTACTTTAATATTTTTAAATAATTTAATTACGGTAAAAATTAAAATTAACGTAAAAACAAAACATTTTAAATAATTAAAATATATTAAAATTTTAAATTTACGGTTATAATTAAAGTTATAATAGTAAAATTATCATTAAAACAACTTTATTTAAAGTTATATACATATAATAAAAAATTAAATTAAAAATTTTTAATTAAAAATATTTACTTTTAAATAATAAAATTTTAATTAAATTTAAAAATATATATATTTATATTATTTAATTTTAATTAATTTTAAACAATTTTAATAATTTAAGTTAATTATCGCAACTTTTAATTTAATTTAACTTTTTTTTAAAGCGTTTTTAATAAATGATATTAATTTAAAACCTTTTTTTTAACGTTTATAAAAACTTAATTAAACTTATTATTACTTATTAAAAATGTATTTAAAATTGCGTATATTTAACTCATTGTTAATTATTTTATAATAACGTTTAAATTAACATATAATACAATTTTACAACCATTTAACAATAAATATAAATCCGTTTTTTTTATTTTTTTCCGTTATTAATTATAAATAAGTTTGTTTTTTACCTTTATTTTTTTTCGTTAATTTAATTAATTTTAAATATAATTATATAAAATTAAAAAGGTTAATACTTTAATAAAATAAACATATTAACGTTATATTAAAAAACTAATAATTTATATACGTTTTATTAAACAAATCCTCGTTTTTTATAATATATAATAAACATAATCCGCGTAATTTACAATTTTTATATTATTTACATAAATTTTCATTTTTTTATTTAATCGTAAAAAAAATTATAAAAACTAATATCTTTTATTAATAATCGAAATTAAATTTAAGTTAAATTATAATATTTTTTTATAAAACTTTTTAAATTTAATTAATTGTATAATAATTTTATTAATATTAACTTTAATTTATTATTATTAAACATTATTTACATTTACTTTATTTTCTTTAATAAAAACGTATATATCGTTATAATAACATTTTTAAAATTAATTTACCATTAATAAAATTAATTTAAAATTATCATTATTATTTATTAATTTTTAAAACGTTATTAAACCCACCCCTTTTTATTTCCAATCCAAAAAAAACAAAAATAAATCGGGCATAATTATAAGTAATAAATTAAACTTATAAAACTTATAATAAATTATTAACAATATATATATATATATATAATCGTATTAAAACAACCATTTTTCACTTTTTTTTATTTTAATATTAATTTTTTTTAATTATAATATACATTTTACTTTATTAATAAACTTATAATATATATATTAACATTTAATTAAATTTATACAAGTTAATTATTTTATTTTTTTAAATTTACAATATTTATTTTTTAACTTTTTAATATAAAAATAATATCATTATAATTTTAAAAATTAAACAATATAAATATAATATATAATTAATTATAAAACATAAAATAAAATCGTATACAAACATTATAATAAATAAAAAATTAATAAAAAACTTATTAAAATTATTATAAAAAAAGTTTTTTTTTACATAATTTAAATAAAAAAATTTAATTTAAACTAACACTTTTATTAATATAACGTTATAATACTTTATTTAATATTATTTAACCATAACTTTACAACTTATACCTTTAAAAATTTACATATGAATTTTAGCGTTTTTTTAATATATTCCCTTTATACCTCCGTACTTTAAACCAAAACAAGTTGGTTTCCTTGCGGATCAGACCGGGGCCGCTTTCAGCTATGGCTATTAATAGGCCGAAGCTATCTCCATAAGTACGCTCTGACTACCTAGCTGAGTAATTTGCTCCGACTCTGATTCTCGTTATATGGAACTCTCATAGTATGTGCCTTTATAACACGTTTATACGAGTATATCTTCACATGTAATAATGAGCCGGTCGCACCATGTGTCTCGAGCTTCATCCTAGGTGAGTCCCACAATCAGCGAATAGAGCTCGAGCCAGAAAGCCACTTAGTTCACCGTAATTCCGGCTATTTATTTAAAAAGATCATTTTCAAGTGCCTCAACGTTACATCCCCTGTCCAATTCAGCTTCTATCTATCTTCACTAACCTCCCACTCTCCCACCACACAATGGACTTTCTCAACCACCCGCCAGAAGACCCCGCCAAGTTCAAACGGCACGTCCTAGAATACATAATTAAATGGGACATGTCCTACGACTCCGTCACAGGCCGGCAGTTCGAGAGCATGTGTAGGTACGTAGACGAGCGGCGCTTCTTCGACCGCGTGCTGTTTCCCCACGGTGGTTGGATGACCCGGGACTGGCTCATCGACGCGTACGGCGAGGTCAGATCCAACTTAGAGCTTGAGTTATTGCCGAAGGGTGACGAGATCACTAGGAAGTGGATCGTGGAGAAGCGTAGGGAAGAACGGAAACGGAGAGCGGACTCAGACGAGGAGGAAGAAGAAGCAGAGGATTAGGTATCGCCGTGAGAGAACTTTTTCCAACCAATAGTAGGCTAGCTACCGTGAAAGCGAATGTACAAGTAGATTGGTTCTTGTATAGAAAAAGTGCTCTCCGGTAAGCTATAGATACCTAGTAAGATAGACCGATTTCATAAACAAATTAGCTTATATGAATCGATAGTATTTCTATTTTAAATTTCCACACTATCTATGATGAAAAAAACGGCCTGGCTACACTTACCTTCATGTAAACGATCTCAAAGGAGAAAGCCATGAATTCCGCGACAGCGTGAGGAATATGCAATAATATTAACAGGGGCATAAGGGCAAAACTTAAGAAGATAGTCACTAGACTACCCAAATTTTTACGATAAAAGCAGAAGTAGAAGAAGAGAGTAGTGAAATAGAGGTGAATTCAAACGAGCGACCACCTTACTAAGGCCGAGTCGATGCTCAAGGCAGAATTTGCGCGACAAAAGCAAATAGCAAGAATCCAAAAACCCGAACGCCAAAACAAAACCAAACAAGAATCAAAACAAGAACCAGACCCAGAACCAGACCCAAACCCAAACCCAAACCCAAAACTCCACATGAAAACAAACAGAAAACAAAATCAATAACCTTCTCCCAATGCCTCTCCTCGCAACACCGTAATACCCCGGCCCCTATACTCCCGCGGTTTTGCAGTTCCCAGAAACGAATGACCCATAGGTGAATAGGATGAAAAAGGAATGCGTGCCAAATGAACGAAAGGGAAATTGTGTTGGATGTAGAGACGGGAATATGAAGGGAAATGTATGAAAAAAAGGCAGGAAAGCGAAGGGAGAAGGGAGAAGGGAGAAGGGAACGAAAAGGGATGATGACTAAGGCAAGGGGTATGAGGGAATGAAATAGAGTGATGAGAAAGAGAGAATGCGAACGAGTGAAACAGTTTACAAGAAACATCCAGTCATCTGCGACAACTTATACAAGAAAGAGAAAGAAGGGATTATCCAAAACACAACACATGGGCACTGCAAAACCGCCTCACTATATACCATCGAACCGAATACCGACCGACCGACCGACCGACCGACCGAAAAGAAAGACTATGTCGCAAAAGAAAGCCAAGCATAAGCCAGGCCCGCGCCGACTGCCGCAGCCGCGACACCAACACAGGCAAGAGACTTCCAGCCGAAGCCAGATCCCCTCGATGGCACTTCCGCAGGCCTTTGTCGCTCCAGGGTGAAAGCCGATGGGAGCTGACGTTTGGCGAAGAAGTGCTGAGAAGGAGATGGAGCAGGACTAGAAGCTGAACCCGAAGCTGAAGGAGAAGAAGAAACGGATGCAGATGCAGATGCAGGAGCAGGAGCAGGTGCAGCAGTAGATGATGCACGAAGGTCTTGCATGATCTGCTGGATAGAACGAGCGTATTGGTTCGCAACGTTAGAGTTGTAGGAGCCGTAGGAGTCTGAATGAGCGTCGGGACTCTCGAATGAGTCGTCGTAAGTAGGTAGAGCAGAAGTAGTCTCAGGGGCAGCAACAGGAGCGGGAGCAGCAGCGGGTTCAGCAGCAGAGGATGCACGAAGATCGCGCATAATCTGTTGGATAGAGCCAGCATACTTGTTCGCCACATCGGAGTTGTAGGAGCCGTAGGAGTTTGAATGAGCGTCCTGACTCTCGAAAGAGTCGTTATGAGTGGGTTCAGCAGGGGTTGGTTCAACAGGGGTTGGTTCAGCAACAGGTTCAGCAGCAGATGGCGCGCGAAGATCCCGCAAAATCTGTTGGATAGAACCGGCGTACTGAAGAGCAACGTCCGAGTTGTAAGAGCCATAAGAGTCCGAATGAGTGGTTGGGCTCTTAGGAGGGCTATCGTGAATAGGTGAGGCAGCAGCAGTAGGAACAGGAGAAGGAGCCGGAGCCGGAGCCGGAGCAGCAGTAGATGGCGCGCGAAGATCTTGCATGATCTGCTGAATGGAACGAGCGTACTGTTTGGCGACGTCTGAGTTGTAAGAGGCAAAAGAGCCTGAATTAGAATGAGTGGTCGAGCCCTCGAAAGAGCTCTCGTGAGAATATGTCTCCTTCGCCTTCGCCACCATCTCCCTCAACTCCTTCTCCTTCTCCTTCTCGGCTTGCCACCGTTGGCGATCACTGTCGCTTTCGACGTAAAGCTGAAGAAGAGAAGATAGTCCGGAAGAGTGAGTAGGTTCTGGGGAGGGTTCGCGGAGAGGCTTTGGGGAATCTAAAGGAATGTAAACATCCGAAACGGATTCAGAAAGAGGGGACATGGTCGGCTGGTTGCGTCTCCTTGCTGCCCATTCCTTGCGCTCCTCCTCGCCTTCATTGAACATTTGAAGGACGTGTGGCGGCCAAGGACGGCTATTCACGTCTACCCAGGAAGAGAATTCCGAAGATGACGTCGAGTCTGAACGAGTGTGTGCTGAATGAGCTTGTGTTGAGCGAGTGCCTGTTGAACGATTGTGTTTTGAACGAGAGTGCTTTGAATGAGTGCGTTTAGAACGAGTGGATGCTTCCGAAGAAAATGACGATGCGATATCGACTTCTTCGTAGCGAACGGTGTCAGCTGTGACGCTGCTTTCGGGCTGCTGTTCCAACAACAGCTTTTCCATCTTCTTCATCTCCTCGAACTTCTTCCTGATGTGTGGTGGAAGAGCAGCGAGAGGATCGTGGATGGGCCAATCGGTAGTCTGGTACGTGACATCTTCGATTTCCCGGGATGGAGAGTCCCAATCAGACCAAGTCCAATTGTAACGGTCGATCTCGGGCTTGAACATGCGAGGTGACCAGTGTAGGGGTTTGTCGTTCAGGTCTGGATTTTTGAAAGGAGTGTGAACAAGAGGCGAGCTCTTGATGCTGAGTTCCGGTTTTGCCTCTACAATAACGCGTTTAGGCGTTACTGTTTTAGCAACAGGTAAATCAGCGATAGGAGCTTTTGCCTTCTTTTCGTGTGTCGAGTTAGTGGCAACTAACTTTGCTTTTGCAACTCGTGCCTTTTTAGCTAAAGTAGCTTTGTCGTTTGGGAAGTTTTTCGGAATTCGAACGACTCGCAAGCCGTTCTTCATTCGAGATGCTATAGGAGATAGGTTAGTTTAATGATGGAAAGAGCATGCAATGAATCAGGGAAATAATAGGGAATAGCACAATAGGGGAAGGAGTTCGACGGCAGCTGAAAGAGACAAAGGAGAAGCAACGAGATACTTACGAGTTACTTGATGACCACACCACTTTGCCGGGAGCAACATCTTTACTCTGTCACATCCGGGGCATAGCGTTTTGGGCTTAGGTGGAAGGTTAGTACCAAGGCGGGCTCCCCGTCTCTGATCACGGGCACGCATGGAAACTAGAAACTTCGAAAGGGGAGAGACAGGTGCTTTTGAGTTAGGAGAGGAGAAAGGAGAGACGATGGGGGAGGGAGGGGAAGGAGTAGCGGGGAAAGGAGCAAGAGGAGAGAAAGGGGAACGGATAGGAGAGAAGATGGGAATGCGGACGGGAGTCGGGTTGTAGGGTATAGTAGGGGTAGGAGGAGTAGCAGGGGTAATAGGTGACCAGGAAAAGCGAGGAAGAGGAGACGGTGTTGAGGGAAAGGGAGGGATGTTGGTGTGGGACCTAGTTAACCCACGACTGAGAACAGCCGATGCTTTAGTAGGAGTGACTGGTGGCATTGCAGATGAGAGATGTATTAGAGTTGTGTAGTGTTGTAGTATTGCAGTGTTGTGTGAAAGAGCTATGTGAAAGGTGAAGTGCGAAGTGAAGAGAGTTGTTAAAGGGAGGAGAGAGCGAGCTACAGTCTATAGCGAGACGCGCTTTTATACTTTCACGTCACGTATAGGTTAGGGGCATTCTAATAAGCGGTAATTCTTAATATTTCACCTGATAGTAGCATTATCAAAAGTGTAATATATGGTCTTGATACAACTCTGCTAGGGCCCTATACGGATATAAGGACGGCCATTGCTGCATATATAAATATCTGTATAAGCGAGCTTGACGAGGAGAACGGCGCTGGCCATCGACTGTGGAATGAGTCGAGGAGATTGTAAATTAAAAACTATATGAGGACATATCATAATATTGGTTCGATCATATTGGAAAGTTACAGGAAAATTGTAGCTTTCGCTGTGAAGTGGTTGATGAAAAGGCCGTCTGGGTGGTGCTAGAGGGACGCGAGGGACGTCTGTCGGAATCTTTGGCTCGGTCGACCTACGATAACTCAACAGCGCGCATCTATAATGACATGATACTTTGTATAGCAGTTATTCGGAGCATTTAGGGCCAATTAACGATGTAATATCTTCGTGTGATGATGTGCTCGTGGCGGGTCAGATAGGGGATATTCGTGTAGAACTCGATGATTACGGACGGACTTATCAGACTTTCGAGCCGAAACGGAGTGTAGAACTACTACGAGAACCTTTAGAATCCCTTAGAGCGACTTCTGGATTATAATGGGAGAAGTATAGTAACCACGTCTTGATGATATCTGCCTGTTAGGTGACTACCCTCTGGCCCTACGGGCAACAACTTCCCGAGCTTTACGAGTTGGTACCAACCCACAACGCCGGCAGCTCTTTCTATTCTCACAGCGTAATGGTCTTATATACGTGGTATACATACCTGTTATCCGCGTGTATAGGGAAGGAATCCATTGAAAAGGAGAAGGGCTAGATTCGTTTCCCTGCCTATCGGCTGCTCAAGAAACCAAGCGCCTACGATCTCACGAAAAACAACTATGAAAACACCTATATACCAATAAGATCCCTTCACCGGATTCGAGAAACCCTACTGAATACCCCGAAAGCCTATACGATGCGTCGATCGAGATCCGGCGCGCCCACGATGTACTACGGATGAAGACAGCAGCCACATGATATCCAGTTACCTACCTAGCCTAGGAACTTACCTGAGAAAGATTAGGTACACATGGCCATCCTTAGATGCGATTTATGCTAGTAATTCTCAAGAAGAAGCATACTTAAAATCCAGGAGAGCCGAAAACAAGGCAGAGAGCCTATGAAGTAGAGCTTGTGTGTATTTATTAAGCATGCAATCAAACCAGACGAAGACACCGCAATACGTAGGCAGATTACAGTCCTGGCTGTCAGCTATCTACAAGCAAGCCCGCTCCCCTTACAACTATTATTAATTTAATAATATTTCTCGAGATATCGATCAGCCCAACCCTCAGTCGTCCAAGACTTGCACCGAATTATTCTCTATCTGACGTCTCTCGAATCGGGCTTCTGCCGCCTGACGCATAACATCCTCAGAGTTCAACTTATCCGCTGCCGCCGTCGCCGTCTCCTTAATCAGGGTTCGAACCGCACTCATCAGTAACTTATACCATCCGTTGTGCGATTTGCAGCGCTTCTTTTCGCACATGCCGCGCGTGGCCGGGTCTCCTTGCAAGTCGGGATCGAGGGGTGTATCGAGTTTCCCCGCTTTGAAGGTCGCTTGGCCCTCTGGGGTCTCTAGCCATTCCGCGAACTGATAACGAACCGAGACCGTGTCGAGTCGCCAATCGTAACCACAGCTATCCTTGGCGAATTTACTCGCTTCTATAGCAAGCTGCCGACGATGGTTGGCCCAATCTATGAGCTGCATCATCTTCTTATACTGCACGATTTCATTGCCAAGCGCGAGGCGTTCGGCAGCAGAACTCTTCAAGAAGGCTTGCTCCTCATCACTAAGAACGCCCGGTTGGGTGGGGAGACCATTAGCCCAAAGGCCGTCTATGTTGCCTTAATAGTAGGTCAGCACACATAAAGCTGAGTAAGGGTAAAAAACAAGACCAGGAAACTATGAACATACCAAAGGGTTGATCACCAAGTTTCCAGCCGCCCTTCTCTATAGTACTAACAAGAAGACCGACGAAATCTTCTTGAGTAAGGACTTCGATAGCCTTTTCGGAGGCGGCTTTGGTTGGTAACGTGTTGATCAAGGAGGACCACCAGAGGTCGCAGTGATCATTGCAGCAGAAGGCGCTTCTTTCTTTAGGATTCTTAGTGTACAGGCGAGCAGCAGTTATGCAGCCTGTCAAGGAGCAGGTCTTCCTGTACTTGGTATAGTTGAGCTTGCCATCAGTACAGTTAGGACAAACGAAACGCTCGACCAATTTTTCGCCAACCTCTTTGTCGAGGTTGACGCATTCTCCATGGAACCAATCTTCACAGACATCACAACTTATCATCCATCTGTGGTCGTCTGGTCCACGGCAGATACAATAGGGGCCGTTGTCAGTCTCATCGTCGGAGCTACCGTCTTGGGCGCCATTCGCGGGGCCAGTTGACGAGGGGTCCTTTTTGGAGGTCTTGGATTTGGGGATCCTAGACTTTCTAGGACCTTTCTTGGCCGCAGTTCCCTTCTTCTTCGATGCAGGCCTCATCTTGTTAGAGCCAGCCTGAGAGGGAGGGGGAGAAGAAGTTGGTTGGGTATCATCAGGGTCTGGTTTGAATTGAGGCGTATTTGTTTGGACCAGGTGATGCAGTGAATCAGCAGCCCGAGGGTGCGCGTCACCGTTTCCATTGGCAACCTTGCCACCCAAGCCGTTGCCGAGATGCGAATTAGTACCTTCCATCTCAACATCTTCACTGGATATTGCATCCGCCGTTATGCGAGGATCCGCCATTATGAAGAATATGACTGGTTAATCCCCAACCCGTACTAAGGGAGCCAAAAGAATAAAAAAATTCACTAAGGAGGGAACTTTGACCACTGATACAAGAGTAAAATTAATATAAGGACACCTCTTTTTTAGGGATCTCACTCATGAAGACCAACACCTTCGAGTTTTGATGAAGCTAGCATTTTCTTTCGTGATGGAATTGATTTTTTCGCTTCAAATGTTTCAGAGGTGAAGAGGCAAATAGTGGACTAAACAATTGGTAATTCCTCGCAAAGCCTTTTTATATTAGAATAAGATGAGTGCTGCGACTTGTGAAGACAATGTTTAACAAGGGGAAGTCATAGGCAAGTCTTAAGAAGTGTGTACATGTAAACAGATACGCTAATTGGAGGCTGGTACTGAATGTGGCAGTGTGGCGTTTGGTTTACCGTTATCGAACATCCGATAATGACAGTATTCGCACGGTACGGGAGTACACAACCCCTTTAGGTTACGATACCCCCAAGTCTACGTCTTCCAACTTGCACCATTACGTATCTAGACGAAGAATTGTCGACAAACAATTCCCGCCATACTCTGCATGCCTACATGTCTTTTACAGGTAAAGTCTAGAACGTTTGTTTCTATGAAGACCATTTGCTATTAAGCCACACGGATGTACGAAATATGTACGGTGGCGTCCACTATGACTTACACATAAGCCACAATGCTGCCAAGAAATCAGGGGTAAGGAGGTCAAATACTTCATATATTTTCAAGATATCCATATAGCTTGCGGATATACGAAACTTCTACTAGACAAGGAAACGAAATACCATGAATGCTTTCCATGAAACCCATCGGGACGGTCATATAGTATCTAGTCTTACCTAGTCCAGACTAAGAAGATAGGTAACGTCTAGTTTATGGGGGACCTGGTAGGTTACGGGAAATACTCGTATCACTTATAAGGCATCGTCAAAAGCATAGAGTGAAACTGCTTGCAATTATGTGGTACGGGGATTACACATCCCGTCCATGATGCCAAAGGCACCACCATATCAACTAATAGTAAATCACCCAAGGTGATGAAAACTTTCTATACGGCACGAAGGCCGAACACCCACCCCCCAACCGCTCACACCACCACTCTGTACCAGGTTGAGAATACTTCATAATAAAATTGACCTGACGCTGGCTTTGCCAGCACAGCGCCGTCTGCATTATCAAATGCATTAGTCAATTCGACACCACACACGTTCTCGAGATAAACTCGTTCCTCCGCGGTGGGTTGGCTATGAATTTAAAGCATTCTGTTAGCGGATCAAGATCACAATATAAAATGACAACATATATTGAAGCTAACTTACTATCCCTCCTTCTTCCAGCGCCAGAACAACTCGCTGGCTATTTCTAGATACGTCGTGCCGTCGCGACGGGCACTTTGGTGACGATCTTTTCGTTTCTTAAAGAAACGCGTATCCGCGGCATTAAACCGCTTCTCCATCTCATTTCGCCCCAAAGAGGGCAGGATCTTGTTACCCCATATCGCCTCATGCTTCTTGAGGGCCTATCAGTAAAGATATTAGTAAGATGTTATCTATAAGAAAATAATTAAGAAAAATTGTTTCTTACGCCGGCGGGGAGTTGGGGGGGTTGGGGGGGTTGTACGGCCGGTTGAGCCGCCGGTTGGGCTACCGGTTGGGCTATAGGCTGGGCTGCGGGTTGGGCGGGCAACGCAGCGACGGGCTCAGCAACGGGCTCGGCGCCAAGCTCTCCAGCGAGCTCTGGGGCTGGCTCGGCACCGGGCTGGCGGCCGGCGTCAAGCTCGTCGAGGCACTGACGAAAGACTTGGATAGCCTCCTCCCGAACATCTTGGGAAGCGGGCTGGGCTTCCAAGTCTAAGTTCATATGAACCCCGACGAGCTCAACAACCCGGGCAGCCAACCCAGGTGTGAAGAGGCCGGACGCCGGTGCTCCCTCGCGGTCTGCCATGCTTATAGAAACGGTAAGTTGAGAGAATGGTAGGTTGAGAGAAGAAGGATGGGCAGATGATGGAAGAAATAAATATGTAGGAACTTACTGAAGAAATTTGTGTGATTAGGGCACAGCTATTTTCGAGGCAGGAAGGAGTAGTGAAATGCTTGTAAGGCGGGTACAGTTGGAGATTGATAGGGCGAGAGCAGCTTGGGTAACCACCTGTGAGGCGGGAGCTCAACGAAAAAATTCGTGAGCTAAGGGTTAGACTACTCTGATTGGGAGCAGCTAGAAAATCGTGGAAGGTGGGGACGAAAGTAACAAGTATTAGGTATAGCCGGCGAGTATACTTCTTGACATGTATAGTCGGCGAGTATACTTGGTACTTGACAAGTATAGTCGGCGTCTATCAGTGTTATCAGGTGGGCGTATACTCGGCGAGTGTACAACGTAACAACTGTGAACGCTGGTGATATGGTAGTTGGTTCGAAGAAGACGAGAGAGGTGATGCCGAGAGAGATGGGATGAAGGTAGAAGAAGACAGATGGTGGGAGGAAAGGAAGGGGAGGAGAGTCTAAGAGGGGCGCGTAAAAAAGAAAAGAAAAACTTTATCTCAGAACCGTGTGACCTAACACTCGCTGACGTACTTCGACGAGCTCACTGGTATCTTTGGTGAGTTGTATCTTATCTCTGTAGATGACTTAGGCTCTGAGGAGCGTGACGTCTTAAGACTTGGGAGATGCTGTAGCGTTCTCTTCTGTGATCTTTACTTGGATATTTTTGCCTGTGGCTATATATACATTATGGCTGTACGCACTGCAATTATCAAGGTGAATCCTTCTAAGACTCCTTTGGAGTCTTGCTATATAAGTACCCAGTGATTAATGGTAGAACGGAGCTCAATCTTGAACAATGAACTAGGACTGCTATGTGAGAAAGGGAACTGCGGATTAAAATTGAGATATGGACATATGGCCCCCAGTTCAACAATGTCTACGAGATCCCAAGCACGAAATATGTAGTTAGCAATATGAAAGGCGAATATGCGTTAGATTTGCGTTATGGTGCGTTTATATAAAGAGTTTAGTTATTAAATGATATTCTTCGTACTAGCTTCTGACTTTCTCATAAAGCAATCATAAAAGCTATATGGTATGGTTAAGAGACCATCGGTAGCATTTTTAAGTTGTAGGTGAAGCGTATTATTGTTCGACAACAGTTGTTGTTTGCATAGATAACAATTCCTGTTTGTCTAGTTTACAATTTATATGGAAATGTGGTTATTTAAAAAATATTATATTTGACTTATAAGAGTGTGGGAATGTTAGGTTAATTTTTATGTCAGTGGTTTATATTATTTGAAGTTTATTTATACATTTTATCTAAACCCCTTTTATAATGTCGATAGGCTTACATACTGTCAGGGAATAGTGGGTCAGGGGTAAATTCAGGGGTAAATCTTTTTTAGGATTGGGTATATAAGAGGCGCTACGCGCCTTCGAAAAAGGATAGATGGGCAGGCGTTAATAGTTCAATTCTACTTATCTTGGCATTCACTTTATGTACGACACCAATCAAGGGTATTAATCTGCACATACAAGCAGTTGTAATACAAGCTACACCGATAACTAGTGGTATCGCAGCAAATAGCCGCCAGTGTACTTGCTATAGGTAATCAAGAAGACTGGATTACCTACGTCTTTATAGCACTGGGCATCGTGGCAGTAATAAAGCGCTTAAGTTTTAGTTATCCCTTAAAAGAGTAGTATACATAGGCCTCATTTATCAACTTTACAGGGCTGGTTGATAACCCTACTAAGTATTCCTAATGTAAAGCCAACAAGGTATTAACTGTTATAAATATTAACATACATATTACTTAGGCATTTATTGTTATGATTGAATCCAGATTAATAAGGTATTTAAACTAACGCGGAACACCTTTAAAATCTGAGATACAAACGCTTAGGCCGTTTGTGGAGGATTTATAGCTTGTAGGACGATAGTCTGTTTATCACTCAAGAAAACAAACATCTATAACTATCAGGTATTGTATAGCACGGAGTGAAAGATAGGGGCCTAGCCAGTGGTATAGTTGATGACTTTATTGACTCAACGCCCCTTCCAAGAATAGGGGGGAGGCATACACTCTTTATATAGATCCAATATTTAGCGGATACCCTACGAGGTAGTTCTATTGCATTCTAGAAATAGTATAATGTTAGAGTGAGAAAGACTACCCGTCGCGGGGGGTTCTGGTTGGAGTGTGGTTTCCAGCATATTTCCTTTTCACTTCTAATAGCACGTACTAATAATCTGTATATAGTTCTGCTAAAAGGTCGTATATGATTGCCTTGAACTATAATTCTAGCAAACAAACAATTGCTCTAGAGTAACTGTTTCTCAGTTACAGATTTGATGGGGTATCAAAGAAGGTATCAATATTGAATATACAGCACTGCCGGGCTCTTCAGACACAAGTACCATAACCACATACGCGATAAGCCATACACACCATGCCATAGCTACTATTCCAATTGAAAGAATCGTAACGGCTCCAAAAGCCTCTCCAAATTTGGGGGCAGCGTATGTATCCGCCCCCTTTTTAGTTTTCCTCTCTTGGTTAATCACGATTGATGACTTTTAAGTTGCGAAACGGAAATCGAGTCTATCAAACGAATAAGTTAAAAAGTTTCGAGGCTGATAAAAGGGGAGAGCTTACCGCTTGTTACCCTTATCGGTTGTAGTCTTCCTGTAATTGTCTTGTTCTTCTGGAGTCATGGCATCCCACTTCTTCGCCTTTGAATTGTTTCTCCATCGGTAGTAATAATATGTACCCGGGTATTGTATTATCTGTAAATAGTTGAGCATTCTCTCATAAATAAGGAGATAGGGGGGTTGCGGGGCTATAGGTAGGTACTTACACACATCCAGATACAGATAACTAGTAAACCCTTGTTTGCTTTGAAGTATCGCGGCGAGTCGCTAGGTTGGTAGACTGTAAAGTTAATACTTATACTCTTCTTATTGAAGGAAAAACTTACTGTTCGCGCCGATCATTCCGCTAACTTGAACCCACATATTGTAGATACTGACGAATTAAGTTAGAAAAATGAAATACTAGAAGGGGGAGGGTGGCTTACGCAGCAGAGACTGTTCTGTTCTGGACGGATCCCGCATTCCTACTCGTCCAGGCGACTTGTATAGGATGGGTGCTAAGCTCAGTTAGTTTTTGATCACTTTCCCCTTTCAGCGTATTACTCACTATGGGAATGACAGTAACACTGTTGCAATCGCGAAGTACGCCCAAGGGCTGATCGGATCCGGCAAGGCTATCAAAGCAGCAAAACAGGGCAACAACCAAGCATCTTCCGCCATCGATACGAAACTTCTATTGTCTACCAACTCGCTTACCGCAGTGATGATTAGCATGGATATGCTGGAACCGACGATGTTCGGAATCGAAAGCAAGTTGGTCTGGATAACGTTGAATCCTAGGCCTCGGAAGGAAAGCGTCAAGTATTGACCGACGGGATATTTCGGTATGCCGAATAATAGACCTAGAGCGTATAGTGGCCACATGTCGTAGTCTTTTGCACTTTCCCATATTTGTTTGACGGAGAGACCTTGTCGGTTATACATTCCTCCTTTCTGGGGGTCGTCTCGGATAACTAGGAGTAGAGTTAGAAATGAGATATATATAAGGCTATATGCTCGACAAGCTTACCCGAGTTGACAATAATCTTCTCTTCCTCCTCGGTGAAATACCCTTTAGGGTTCCACCAGCTCTTTGTCTTGGCCGGGGATTGAGGCATGAGGAAGAAGGAAGCAACTCCAACCAAGACTACGTTAGGGTTAGTATCGCGGGCGCTAGAAGTGTAGGCCATCCTTACAAGTAAAAGTGCCCCTAGCAATGTTAGCTGTAATCACATAATTCGCGAAGCTCATAACTTACTCAATGAGGAACAACCACCGCCAACCTTCGTACCCCAAGATACCACGCATGGATAGGAGACCAACAGCAGCAAAACCGACACCGATGTCGACTAAGAGATATGAGAAGAGTACTTCAAGTTTAAGCCATAGGACTCACCTAACTGCGAAGACATCCAGTACCAAGCTAACCTGATCGGAAGCTAGGAAAGTCAGTATAGCCCCTCGATATACATACTACTCAAAGGGAAGGTCGCTTACCGATCTACCGGTGTAGAAGTAACTGAGGTAAAGGATTGTGTCCCTTTCAAAAGATTAGAAAAGCTATTAGATCCTAATAGGCAACGAAGACTTACGGGATAAAGCCACCTTGGAACGTTGCTCTGATTTAGTCATTAGCTAAAGTTCATACCACCAATAACAACTCAACCTACATTAAGTATCTAGTGGCGAGGAAAGAAGCTCTGCCTTTGAGGAAGAACTGCATGGCGGATATAACGCTGAAAATGCATATTTGGATCGGAATCCATAGATCAGGACCGATACTAGAAGGTGTATTAATTAGCTAAACTCTTAGAACATTGACTACTCTAGGAACTAACCGCTTGGAAATAAGTTGGGAAGGTAGTTCTGCTACTAGAAAGCCAACTCGCGAGATAGTTTGACCAGTATTCTATTCATCGTCAACATTGGACTCTTAACAAGTGGCTAACAACGTAACTTACGTAGTCGGCACGACTGAGTCCTAAGTCCTCTAGCATGTTGTCCGAGACAGCGTTGGAAATATTTCCTCGGTCGATGTTGAGAGCAGCAAACATAATACACACCCAGACCTAGACAGTCAGCGTTATTCTTTTGCTTATATTCAAATAAGTACTTACCATAATCTTCCAGTCAACCTTCCGTCGCACCGCTCTCTCCTCCCTCCACGTCCACCGGAAACCAGGGTCGAAAGCAGACCAGTTCTCCCATTGGGGATGGATGTAGAGTTGCTTTAATTCTTCCACGTTCTCTGAATCCCAGATACTAGGTTGTGTTGCGATCTTAGTCGAGTTAGCTATTGGTTCTACGCATCAAATCAAGCCCAAGGTTTTTACGAACCGCATCGAGGTCGTACGGTTTAGTCTTCGGACCCTTTCGAAGTCTTAGGAAACGCAGAATAGCATCACCAAGCACCGACTCCATACGCTCAGTCTCTCTTGGTGCCAACGCTGCCGGGGTAGGGGGCGTCACGTCGATAGGAAGCTTATCGTCGGGATGGCCTTTGGATCTCACGCTGTCGTGGTCGGACGTCGCAGCGGACCCGGCACCCAAAGGCGCGGTGGCCGGTTGTTGAGAAGACATATTACCTCTATGCTCGAAGGAGAAGGATATTATCGCACGAATCACTTCTCGGGAATAACAAATCGAGTATATTAATAGGGAGCCGCAGACGAGTACCCTTCATCTATATAAGGATTTATCAATCAACTAGTCGACGCGTTGAACAGGGGGTTCCAGACACCCGGACAGATGATCAAGGACCGAGACGCATTGCCTAGCGGCCCTAGTGGAGGGCGTTATAATATAGCCTCTAAAATATGATGATATGTAGTGATATTAGGAGATCCAGAGGGACTTCTGCACCCTCACGATTTGCACCTTGGTCGAATGTCTGGTAATACCCCGCTGCGAGAAATGGCGACATTACGATTTATTGATAAACCCAGCTAAAATACCCCGAGGAGATCCAGAATAGGTATGTTGAAAAGTGATATAGGGTCCGCCAAGAGTGTTACGCAATATGGATACCAGCGCACGCCATTCCTCACCATCGTTAACTTCGATGTCGTGCTTTGTATTAAACTCATTCTGTATGTTACCCGAGATAATTTCTGGACTCAATCCGGGGAACTTTCTATTCTTGGGTTTTGACAATTATTTTATTAATAATTTTATCCGGTTTAAATATGTCCTCAAATGCCAGCGTGATGCAGGTACATTATTCCACTTATTTATATTCGCAAATCAAGACTTTGAAAAGACTCAAGATACACTACTTTAAGACAATGTAAAAAGCTTAACGAAATAGATTCAAATGAGTAACGCACAGTATCTCTTTAGCACTTGAGGACATAATAGATTTTTTAAATAAGAATTTGATCATGATAACATTGCAACTGCCACTTCCATATGTACAACTGTTACCAGTTATTATCGGCCTGTCAGTTTGCTACGTATTTTCGTCACAATGGACACAGCAAATATTACATAGGCACTTGTCAACACCAAAATACACATCCCGATTCCCACGGTGCACATTATAAGATACCTCATCTAAAGCCGGATCGGTGATGCCTTCTTATCACGGCCAGTATCCAAAGGATTACATTAACGAGGCGATATATCGATGCTGGAGGGGCCATGGTCCCGCCTCCTGGGGTCATTTCATCATTCCAGAAACGGTAAATAAAACCTAGTCCGACGTAGTTGATCTATTAGCCAACCTTATCGTAGCTTCTCGGACCATCGCCCACATCTCAGTCATCAATGCTTGTGAGACTCCCTCCTGAGCTCCTCCATTCAATATTTGAGTATCTCGATCCTTTCGGGAAGGTCTGCCTATCCCTCGCCTGTAAACATCTCTTGCGCGTCTCATGCTTGGCCAACGTGAAATTACCTTCAGCCATCAAACATCGACAACTTTGTCCGCCCAGCTGCATAGCGATGCGCACGCTTCTGCACCTCGTACTCCCAGTCAAGCCCGGCGGTAAACCCAACAGAGCGGTAGCTGTCTGCTCCTATTGTTAATTTGTTATCGGCATCGATCGACGAAGAAGAGCCGCTGGAAGCACGTACGGGGAAAGTTCCCTAGTGGGCATCGGGGCTTGAGTTCGGTCGACTCGGGTATCGAATCTCGGAGACGCCATTCATCCATTCAATTCGCCCCGAATGTTTATTGGAAGAAGAATTACGCCAAGATGAGAAGTATACTAAGGCATCGAACGGAAACGTAAAAGTCGGAAAATAAGTACATAGTAAGGTCTGCCTCGCTTCCGAGTTCAGGACGGCTATGCTAGTGGCGAGTGAGCTCGTGATGACCATATGTATGTTATAGCTGTACCAGAAGGAACACGTTGTATTATTTTACACGACGGTTTAAAAGAAAGAATTTTATCGTACATAGGAAACAGCAATACCAGTGGCAGTGTATGCCACGGCCGTAGGGTAGAAGTGGGTGGTAGACATGGCGAGTAGTCGTTAAATCAACTCATATTGAAAAGTCAACTGTTCAGATATGTAGATCAGAATAGCTTCGACAGGAGGAAAGCCGTGGAGTAGATACAAGTTCGTAAAGCCTCAACTTAGGTAAGGGAAGTAAGGGATGAAGGGTGGCGCGTAGTAGCTCTCCTAGCACCAATTCTACTCATCTCTCTTTCCTCTATCCCAATCACATACCAACAATAGACATAGACTCATAAGGTATTAATTGTTCAGGGTATATAGGAGTGATATAACATAGCAGCTAGCTCATTAACCCCATCGGTCAGTTGACCAGAGGCAGTATAGTATCGTCAAACCCACCACCAACCAGACCAACCCATCTGTTATAAATACACGTCTGGTTTGGTTCGCCAGACAGGTATCGAGGTATATATAATTATGTACTTGGTATATGAAAGCCCTCATCGGGTCGTGGTATCTCGCATTCGCATCCGCATCCGTCCCAAACGCCCATCGCTTGTCCAAGATATCATCTTATTTATATACAACCCCCCCCCCCCCCCTTTCCCTAAGTTCCCCTTCCTCTCTTTCTCCTCCTTCTCCCCTCTTACAGGGCGTAATTCTCCGTATGCAAGAAAATCTCCTCAAGCATCGGATCGCCCCAAATCTCCGCCTGCAGCCTGGCCACAGTCGTCGCAACACCTTCCCTCATACTCGGCGGACCACAGACGAATACTGCCGTTCTCCTGCCCAGAATTCCTCTCCCGTCCGAACCTCCTGTCGTCCACTCCCGCAGCATGTACCCTAGGTCCGGCCGTCCGTACTCGACAGTCCACCCCCCGTCGATCTGGTGTGGCACCGGGAACGCGAACCGCATCAGGCTCTTTTGGAACTCTGTCGGCGTCTCCGGGAACCCGAAGTCGAACCCGGATGGAGGGCCGAACGTCGATGTAGGACGTGCTTGCGGGGGTGGTGCTGGAGGTAGGTTTGTCGTGCGCAGGTGAGCGAACTCGGGTGGTCTTAGGACAGGCTCAGAAGGTTCGCCCGAAACGTTTTCCGGACTAGGAGTCGGTGGGAATCGCCGTGGTGATGACGGCGCGTAGTTGAAGTGCGGTTGTTTGTCCGGGTGTGTCTGTAGCGGCGGGAAGTGGAATTCTCGCTTAGGCTTGTCTTCGGGGTATTGGTCCGCGGGGACCGGTGCTGGTTGCTCTTGATTGTCGGTATCGCTAAGATCCCGACCCTCGAGTCTGCGAAGAGACTCCTCTTGAGGAGAGAGGCGATTTGAAGGTGGTGGGCCTTGCGGCGGGATATGATGTGGCTGCAGGTATTTTTGCTGAGGAAGGGCAGTAATTCTGTCTTCGTCTTCTGCCCGCAGCTCACGCTCGTAGTCTGGGTTGCCCTGCGCTTCATCCCTTATTAGTTGAGAATTGCGCTTCGAGGCAATACCCGCCACGAATCCGTCTAATCTATCATGAAACAGATTGCTAAGTGGCCGGGGTCCACGTTCACGAGGAGGCGGTGCTCGAGACTGTCTCTTAGCTGCGGTGACGAAGAACTTGCACGTCACACTCTCTGGTGGCGCAGAGTCTCGGCAAATGCGCAACTCTTCTCGAAACCAATCCATCGCCTCAAGTCGTTTAAGAGCCCATACGACCACTACTTTCTTAGTAATGGCCTTCCCATCCCGCATGCGCTTAATCAAGTTCAATAACTGCGACATGACCGCAGTCACACCGCTTCCACCGGCAATCAGAATGCACGTGTCGAACGCAGCCAGCTCCCGGCGCATGCCTCCATACGGGCCATCAAGATACGCCCGATACGTATGAAATGGTCCCTTATCAATAGCAGTTTCCAACACTCGTCGCGTAAACCCACCATAGGGTTTAAATACCAAGGTGCAGTCTCTATACTGCTCGCCATATTCGGAAGGGAAATCCTCGCTACAGAGCGACGAGATGGTAAACGGATGGTTATCAAGGAATGATATGCCAGGCATCCGTAGATAGACGTATTGCCCGGGCTTCCATTTCATCTGCGTAGGAATCGTTATCTTAATAGCGTTCTCGGTCATCAGAGTGATAGCTGCTTCGTCTCCCACCAAAAACGACATCCGCCACGGCTTGGTCCAGTTAAGCTTGAATACTCGGATGAAATAGCACAATACCCAGATAGCTATCGTGGCGTATAAGTAGTCCCAAGACGCCAAGTAGTTTTTCGTATGCCAGAAGAGGCAGCCAAGGTACACGAACCCGACCGGGACGTGGAGTGTGACGAAAACCTCGTAAGCCATCCTACGAATAAAAGGGAGTGAGGCAACGCAGAGCCAAAGCAGCGGGACCAGGCATGCGATACCAGTACCATAGATAACACCACTTCCCTCGGGGAACAGCTTCGAGAAAACCATCATACCACCGTCATCCCAGACAGGCTGAATGTAAAACGGAATGGTATGCACAAGAACGAGGAACAGGCAAAGGTATCCCGCCCATCTGTGAAGAACGTTAAGTCGCTCCGGCCCAATCCCCGTGATAAGCGTGAGCAGGTTCGCCTTCATGCTAGTCGCGACGATCCAAGGGGTCATAGCAATCGCAATCATACCCGCACGGATCGCCACGGGAGGCGAGCCGTACTGGATGCTATCCCAGTAAAGCGGCTGCTTAAGGAACACATACAGGGATACGAATGCGAGCGCGACGAACCCGACGAACAAGACGGAAAGCGACGAAAACGTAAACCGATGTTTCCTCCACACGATATCCGGTATGGGCCTATAGAAGACCCATCTGAAGAGAGCGAGCGTGTCTAAGACGGGCCCGACGGCGGAGAAGTCAGACTTGGGCTTAAAATCCCTCTTCTCGCCACCTCCGGCTTCCTCGGGGAAGAACTGTCTTCCGGTCTGGCCCGTGTACATGGTTGTCGGAAGCGCATACTCGGGATCGAGGCTATACACATCTCGGTAATGCTGTTCCACCTCTTGCTTATATATCGCTTGTCGGATCTTATCCTGCCACCAATGCCATATCCGTACCAATACCACCAGCGCCATCAGCGCCAGACTGAAGTAAGTCCATCCCAAGCCATACTTTCCCGACTGACTCCACGGGTCGACTGTATTCGCTTCCACCAGGCCTGGCGGACTTGTCGCCGTTAATGGGATGTATATCCTCTTCGCGAGTTGCGAAAGCGTTCTCGTCGCTCCCGCCATGGCTGATGCTGTGCCTTCGGCCATTATTAGGGTCAGGATATGGGAAGTGGCGATAAGTTCATTAATATCGCGCCCCCAATTCCTACTATGCCGGCCGGCTCCAAACCTTTGGCTTACACAAGACCTTCAATTCTCAGAAAGCCCACGTTTACTCTTAATTCCTTCTAATATCTTTCCTTGCTACATGGGTGAGAATTGATAGTAGTCTTTACGCGCTGACATCGGCACTAGGTATAATCCTGGGAGTAAATTGGAACGAATGAAGTCCTATGGTATTGCGCGTGATGAGGAATGCCAGACTCCCCAATTCACATAATTAAAAGACACTGAAGGATAGCAATGGTAGCCATTGAATAATATGGCGACGATCTGGCAACGACGAAGAAAGGGCAAGCAGAAAAAAAAGAGATCCCGGATCGACAATGGAGATGAGTACCGGGGAACGACAGGTAAGTATATATTATATCAAATCGAGCAGGGAATAGCCAGGATCGCGGTGACAGGGCATGAAGGTGGGGAATTAGATCCCTTTTGGACAGATAAGTCAAGTCGAGTCGAGTAAAATGAGTAAAATAAGTAAAGTTGTATGCAAGAGGTGCCAATGTGTAGTAGTGCCAATATGCAGAAATATGCAGCAAGGTTATCAGTCTCTTCCGTCACACAACTACCACACTAGGCCTGCGATCTCCTTGCAGGATACCCAATAGGAGTTTTGCAAGATTGGCCTCGTGGGAAGAGAGGTCAAAACTAGTGTGTGGATTGCAATCGGTTGATGAGCAGGACCACCACCCAGCGGTTGGCCGTACCTCGATATTGGCTGGCCTGCTGCTGGCGTCGTTCAAATGGGAAATGGGAGATTTTGTTCCCCGCAGAACTGCACGAGTTCTAGTCCATCTGCACGTTCCACGGAACAAGCGTCGGCGCTAGACTTTTGTACATATCGTCCAGGGGTCCTAGGTATCCTATAGGCATCCTATTCTTTTGCTGTACATAGGTAGGGAATAAGAAGCTAACTGTAGCCCACGGGAGGATTTGCCGTGCCGGTACGTTGGCAAGGGTCCATTTGTTCTGTGCTAAGTTGTGCATATGTACGGTACGCAGTACGTTGCATTTGCATCATGCAGATCCACGAGCTAGGCAAAGCATCCGTGGGTGACAAGAGGTAGCGATAGAATACATATTGATAGTCAATAAGAAGGTTGTTGTTGTAATTGCTTGTTGGTAAAGACAGCAAGGATTTCCTTGCTCAAATCAAAAAGCTAAGGGAAGATAGGACAGGATTTCAATCGTGACTTCTCTCCAAAAGGGACGTTACATCGTAAGGATTGCCCCGTACGGAATACTATGTAGGTACGTGATAGTACGTGATAGTACGTGATAAACTTTTTGTCGTCATTCGGCGGTTATTGTGCTCCGAATGTCGAAGTTGGCCGACCGATGAACCGATGAACCGATGAACCGCTGAACCGCTGCAGCAGCCACTTACGCCATTGGACCAATCTAATAATGACCATGCGATAATTGACCATGCTAATTCCATCGGCCGATTGGGGGTTTGCGGCCAAGCGAGGTTCAATCAAGGCCTGTCGAATAAGGACCGGAAGCAGCTGTATTCCCCTAGGGCTCAGCGATATAAGCAGGGAAATTAAACCCTTGGGGTCTGCGGGCTTGGGATGACGAAGCCACGGGATTGGAGCAAAAAGCAAATAGGACCCGGCGCTTAATCGCGTCTCTTGATTTGCTGACATTTAGGTACCTAGGTACCTAACTTACAATCCATCCTCCACCCGAGCTCCAATAGCTTGAACAAGTCTTAATAACCGAATAAACAACAAATGTCAAATGTCTCTCCGAAACTACGAACTTGTGATTGTGTGATAGATTTAACATGCGTTCCGAGCTGCTGGAATATGGAGCGGCAATTCTTAGCCAATATTACAGGCTGTTTTAGGGGTCGCCTCATCGGATACGGTAATCATATCTTCGGCATGCCAAGTTCTCATCAAGACCTCATATGTTAAATTGCGAACGAACCCAAACTAAAACTCATGCACCGCTTAAGATAAATAAAAGCTTTATGCCCCAGCTTTACTGCTTAACAGCTGTTATTAACATACATAAGACACGTAAGATCCTGCGCTACTTGATTTATAAATGGTTGTAGCTTTACAGTACATAGTAAGGAACAAGTATTAATGGCGCGCGTTAGATTTACTATGACATGCAGATCATTCCGCCGTTATCCTAAAGGCATGCTATTGTATAGTATTATAAAACATTAAAAAGTTTGATATTTAAGTTAGGGATAAAAGATGGGTTAGGAAACATTATCCATCTGTAAAATCAAAAGTTAGTTTTTTATTTTCTAAAGTTTAGCGTCACTAGAAAAGGCAATGAGATACTTACTATCTAACAACAGCCATGCCATGACTAAGTTTATGTGCTCGAAGTTAAGTCTTTGATAATAGCGCATTACTGGCTTTCTTCCCTCTCGTTTGCAGTTGGCTGGCTGTAAATTCAAGGTATTCCGTTAGCGGATTAAGATCACAATAAATAACAGCACATATTGGAGCTAACTTACTAGTTGTCTCTTTTCCAGCGCCAGAACAACTCGCTGGCTGCCTCCAGGTATGTTGTGCCGTCGCGACGGGCACTTTGGTGACGATCTTTTCGTTTCTTAAAGAAACGCGTGTTAGCGGCGTTATATTACAGCACTTTGATATTAAAGATAGAATAGTAATGTTGTTTAGTGTTGTGTAGTGTTGTGTAGTGTTGTGTAGTGTTTAATGTACTGGCTGGCTGTTTCTAGGTATGTAGTGCCGTCGTGACAGAACTTTGGTGGCGGTCCTTGCGTATCTACGGAATTAAACCGCTTTTCCATCTCGTTACGATCCAAAGAAGGGAGGATCTTGTCGCCCCATATTGCCTTATGCTTTTTAAGGGCCTATCCGTGAAAATATTGGTCAGCTTTTATTTAAAAACAATTAATAACCTTTTTGTTTCTTACATTAATAGGGAGTTGTAAAGGCTTAAGGAGATAGCATCAATGGGCTCGGCTGCGGGCTCAGCATCGGGCTCTTCGGGAGCCGGCTCGGCATTGGCGATATCGGCGCGAAGCTCGTCGATCCCTTCTCGAAACAACTGGATAGCTTGTCCACGGAGATCCTCGTTAGCGGGCTGATTGTCCAAGCTTAAATTAGCATGGGCGCCCATTAACGCGATGACGCGGGTAGCCAACCCAAGTGTAAAGAGGCCGGACGCCGGTACTCCCTCGCGGTCTGCCATGCTTATAGAAATGGTAGGTTAAGAGAATGGTAGGTTAAGAAAATGGTAGGTTAAGAGAATGGTAGGTTAAGAGAATGGTAGGTTAAGAGAATGGTAGGTTGAGAGAATGGAAGAGGCCAGAAGCTGGTGCTCCCTTACGGTCTGCCATTTTTATAGAAATGGTGTGTTTTGGAGTTTGCTTCTTCGAGGGGAGTGATGTCAGTAAACTTGAAATTCGAGATCTTCAGCGGGTTCTAGAGCTGGCGGCCGGCGTCAAGCTCCTCGAGGCACTGACGAAAGACTTGGATGGCCTCCTCGCGAACATCTTGGGAAGCGGGCTGGGCTTCCAAGTCTAAATTCATGTGAACCCCGACGAGCTCAACAACCCGGGCAGCCAACCCGGTAGTGTAGACTTGAAGGTTCGGACACAGGACATAAAAACGCTTCTAAACATCATCCTCATCCACCACCACCACTCTGTACCAGGTTGAGAATACTTCATAATAAAACTGACCTGACGCTGGCTTTGCCAGCACAGCGCCGTTGGCGTTGTCGAACTCGTTGGTAAGTTCGATCTTGCAAACGTTTTCGAGGTAGTCCCTCTCGTTCGCAGTGGGTTGGATATAAGTTAAATTAGGTAGTTATTACTAGATCTGTCAGCATGGTGATCATAATATCTAACACTTAATAACCAAGACATACCGTTAAGCGAGTTAATGACTCTTCTAAGTTGTGTAGACCCCCATAGTTTTCAGGAGGTTAAAGTTGAAGAGTGTTAACGTGGTATATTCTTGTTGTAGAGGGTACTATTGTATAGTGTAGGTGGAAGTAGACTAAAAGGAGACGAGTTAGAATAGGGCTCACAAGAGTAGAAAGCCGTACAAATACAACGCGGAAGAATAAAAGGTGGGGACAGGAAGAGAGGGGACAGAGTATATGAAGATACGATATGATGGGACTCAAGTGTGAACTGCAAAATAATAAAGCGGGTGAAGGTAATATGTGTGAAGGCAAGGTGAACGAAACAAGGTATAAGAGAGAACCAGCAACAGCGACACAGGAATAAGGATAAATCAAAGCAAGATGGGGGAAGATACATGGGAATAGGACATGCGAAAACAAGACTTACTAGTATAAAGGGGGTTGGAGTAATGCTTAAAGTTGTCAACCTTGGTCGAAGAATATATAAAGGTATAAGGATAAGGGTGTGTTAGTTGTAAGTTAATAGTATAAGTGCCCATGTTGAAGAACCCGATTGGAAGATGGGTATGTGAGGTTGTTAATGAATAAAGTAGGTTGTTTAGAATGTAGGTAGGTTGTATAAAGGTTAGGTTAGGTATGTAAAGTTATATGAGGATATGTTGTTTGAAGTTTGAGTTGTATGAAGATGGAAGTGGGAGAAGGAAAAGTTCTGATGGCGAGGGGGGACCGCCGAATTATATAGAAAACCGCGATCAGTTTACAGACGTTTTCACCGCCCTCGGTAGAATAAACACTGACTAGGCAACAACGCAGAAAGAAGGAACGAGGCAGTCGCGGCGCTACGAAAGAGCAACTACGAGGCAACTACGAAGCAACTACGAAGCAACTACCTAGGTACGGAACCGTGAATCATGTCACTTTCAACAAAATACATGTCCGTGCGCCCCGGTAATTGGTCAATACCGTATGAAAAACCTTCAGAAAAGAGCAAGTACGTATTCGCTCCTTCCCTCTATCCGTAGATCACGCCTTAGCGTCCCCGGTGCACGGTCAACACGAGGAGGTTTCTAAGATATCAACTTCTGTAGCATAGGTAACCCGTGATAAGGATGATTCACAAGCAAGTTTTATTGGAAGGTGCGTCGTAGAAAGGCCTCACAGTGTACCTTCTTCGTGACGGTTTAGGATACTTCATCTGATGAAAGGCCCGTGTGTTCTAGCGCTAGTGACCCTGAGGTTTACTTTGCAAAGAGATCTCGTTGTTCAGTTGACTATCTTGTATACCTACATGTACCTACCTAGGAAGGTCTAAAGAGTAGGTACCTAAGTATCATGAACTGATTCACCGTAGAAACTACTTTGTCCCAACAGTTCAAGAGTTCCTGCCTTGCTGATACTTAGGTCTATCATCATTGTCTTGGCCTACAGATATGAAAAGCTGCAAGTAACAGGTATCTCCTGAACACCAATTCTGTATTATATTACCAAGGATTTATTGCTAGAAACTCAACATGAATATTTCTATGTCCACTACGTTCTTGATCAGTGGTATGTATGGTAGTATTCCCATGAATGTGTTCAGGTACCTAAAAATTAATTACTGGATGTTACTGTACATATATGTACCCAAACCATATTAGGGTCTTGATCATCATTTTGTCCCATCCCTCAGGATGCTAAGCGTTCTCCTTGTGAAGAAATGAGTAAGAAGTAATAGGAAAATAACTATGTTATCGCACAAATAATTGTCAAGTTATATAAGGCTGGACTACTGATAGAGGTAGCCATACGCTTTTTGCCCTAGATGTTCTACTCGTACAGGGCTTACCTTCCAGTATTGCCAATTCGAAAGGTAGTAGGTATTGTTGGCTTTTGAATGACGCTTCTGGAACAGAGGCTCTACTAAGCACACAGGATCGACTGCTCTGTCTAGGTAGATAGTATACTAAGCATGATGGTTTCATATAGGTAAACTAAGTGGCCTAGATAAGGCCAGTTTAATGCTAGAATAAGCTCTCCTTGGATAAAAATCCCAGTATTTGTGTAGTATCAAGTCTTGCTGGAACTTGAAGCAATGTAACATAGCTATAAGAACTTGAATTTTGGTTAAGCCATGCTAGATATTAATCCCAACTGAGTATAGTGGTAGGAATATATTAGAACTTCCACTATATATAAGGCTTAACTAGTAGGTGTTATACTCGTTTGGTAAGGCTCTATTTAAGGGGGGAGGGTTACGTCTAGTAGGGAGTTAGTACCATTTTTAGTAACCTGGAGGCTGGGTAAGTTATGAAATATATAGTTAGACTATATTCGACTTGATTTATAATACATAGATCCTAAACTGGAAAGTGCCTAACCTCTTCTATACTCCTCATATCAAGGTCTTCATGATGATGCGTCTTTGTAATAGGGTTGGTTCGTTGACAAGCCCCTTAAATCCAACGTTTCCTAAATAGGAAAATGGTCATCACGATTTAGTCAGCCTTCAAATGTCACAAGGAATACCACAGAAAGTATAAGTATAACGGAGAGTGCCAGAGTATTTCAATAGGGAATCAATATTTTGTCTCGATATCATTATATAATACACTTAGGAGTATTTAAAACCATGGCTTTCGTACCTACAACGCAATCCGAGATCCGAGAATGGCTTCTCAGGGTAAGTTGGACCCCATTGAGAAAGAGGTACTAAAACTGATACTCCCAAGTTCCATGAATCAAATGACTCCCTCGACGTGTCAAGACTATCGGATATATACACGGAAGATGCGAAAGTGCAGTTTGGCAACATGCCCCTTATTGACGGATTAGATGGGCTACGCAAATTCTTCGAAGGAACTTGGGCAAGACTAGAGATGATGCACCACGAAATCGACAGTTTTGGTAAGACAAAAATTGAAATACGCCAATCTCAAAATGCATATAAGTAACTAATAGCTACGTGCGGTAGATATGATAGACAATAAGATCTATCAGCCATGCCACATAACATGGAAAGTCAAGAATGATCCGGAAAAGGAGACAATTGTGGTTCCGGCGTTTGCTTTCATCTACTTAGAGATATCTGGGGAAAACAGAGGACGGGTTAAACAAGCTGCGTACTACATGGATGGTGCCCCGTTAACAGCGGCGCTTCAGAGGTCTTCTTAGGATTTGTCATATAGGAACTCAAGAGTCTAAAGTTGCAAGATGCGTTTTGGTGTAATTCAGCTTTTATCTTATCAGAAAATGTTACACAGAAATTGTAGCCTTATGGACTAACCATCATTGATTGGCTATGACTTCATTTGCCCCATTCTTTAAACCAGGGCCCCGCAAGGCTGGGTTGGATCCATCTCAAATTTCAAACCTTCCGAACATTTGCAAGGCATTGGTGAATTCCAAATCGTCAGTTTTGGTCAATTACTCTAGAGTCCGAGTCTAGCTCTCTAGCACAAATTATGGCCGCGTCTAATTCCCTAACATTGTCGAGCGCGACCTTTGCAAAGCTCTCCCCGCATCCGTTCCTCCTCGCAAACCTCCAGCCTTCAGACTCGTCAACACCCTCCTCACGCACAAATGGACGACAACCACGCCAGGCGCGCCCCTACAGCGTTAATACTTCATCCCTATCACACGCGCACGGTAGTGCTGTAGTCCGCTCCGGTGACACAACAGTTATCTGTGGTGTCCGCGGCGAGACCATTCTCACCTCTCAGATCCCCAATTACCGTGCACCGCAAGCCGATGATGCTACGATTGGTAACGAACTGCGAGACTACGATCTGCTAGTACCGAATGTTGAACTAGCAACTGGTTGCGCACCCAACTTCCTACCGGGTGTACCACCAACTACACTTGCACAGACCCTGAGCACACGCCTTTTCTCTCTGTTACATAGCTCGAAGCTCCTAAGTGCGGAAGATCTGCGAATATACCACGATGGTTCCGAGAAACAAGGCAGAGGAGATACTGAGGAAGAAGAGATTGGTGAAATAGCGAAGGAAGTCAAGGCATATTGGGTGCTATACATTGACGTACTATTTATTTCCTTCGACGGCAATCCCTTCGACGTAGCTTGGGCGGCAATATTAGCTGCTCTACGAGATACAAAGCTCCCCTACGCATATTGGGATGTGGATCGCGAGTTGGTACTATGCACTCGGCCAACCGAAAAGGAACCGACCCCCTTAAGCATACGAGGGCTACCAGTAGCCTGCACAGCGGTCGTATTTACAGCAAGGGAGAGACAGAAGAAAGGGAGCGGACAGTACTGGATCCTGGTAGACCCGGACAGGTTGGAGGAGAGTTTGTGCGATGAGACAGTAACGATGGTGGTTGATAATACTGAGGGAGAAGCAAAGGTCTTAACGATATCTAAGAGTGGTGGAACAGTTGTTGGACCTGCTCTCATGAGAGAGTTTGCTACTGTAGCCGCGATACGGTGGAAAGAGTTCCGTGCTGTCTTACAATAGAAATCACTTGATACCCAAAAATGTAGAATAAATACGAAACTGCTACGAGAACGCTGTGGACTAAGTGATAGGAGACTACAATTGCATACTAGGCCTGCAATTTCTATCATAGTAACTGAATAATTCTGTCGCAAAGACAGAATTGAAATGAGATGTATCAACCCTTCGAACCATCCTATCAGGCGATATTCCAGGACAGTAGATACGGGACGACTAATTGGTCTGCCCGCCCATTCAAGTGAGCAGCCTACTGAAAGGCTACTCTATTACCAGCATCGTGGCGCTTCGGAGGAGCAGAACGCTGGATACTGGCGAGCGGTGGTTGTTGAAAAGAAGAAAAATGCGACATGAAAAATCCAAGCCATTTTAGTGAAGCTAGCGGGTGGGTCCACATGTCGGATCCTCGGTCTTAGTCATCTTCCGCGAATAATTAGTTAGTTCGACTCCACCCTCGAAGCTCCATTTCCCTTCTACAAATTTTCGAAAAGCAAACCCTGCTTGACCTTCTTCTTCCCTCCCTCCATCATGGAATCCTTGGGAGACGAGCCATGGGACGTGGTGATCTGCGGCACGGGACTGCAGCAGTCGCTACTGGCTCTGTAAGCAAAATCTTTCTCTTCTCGAGTAGCATACGTATCGTATTGTCGGGAGCTTCGTCTGACTGACCTAGTCTGCCTCCGCGATGAAGAGCTCTCTCGCGGTCGAACAAACGCATATTACACGTTGACCCGAATGACTACTACGGCGAGCATGAAGCTGCTTTTAGTCTGCAGGAGGCGGATGCTTGGGCTGCTACACACGGTGAAGAACATGCGACGGCAGGGAAACAGCCTATCTTCAAGAATGCCAAAGCATGGAAACATGTAGAGGCGGCAGACCTAGGCTTATCCTTCCCTCGAGCATACTCGCTAGCCCTAGCGCCCCAAATCATACACACCCGCTCCAAGCTCCTAGAGCAGCTCGTGTCGTCGCGGGCATACAGGCAAGTTGAGTTTCTCGCAGTCGGCTCGTTCTTCGTCTTCGACGCAGAAGCAAGCGAGCCCAGCTCGAAGCTAGCTCGAATTCCCAGCAGTCGAGAAGATGTGTTCGCTTCGCAGGCTATACCGGTCAAGTCCAAGCGGTCTTTGATGAAGTTTCTCAAGTTCGTCATCGACTACGACTCTGAGGAGCAGAAGACTGTTTGGCAGGGCCAGGAGCAGAAGTTGCTGTCGGAATTCCTGGCTAGTGAATTCAAGCTAGGCGAGGATCTGCAGAAGTATATTCTCGCTTTGACTCTGACGCTGGATGGTTGTGTTACGGTGGCGGATGGCCTGGCTACGATTAATCGGCACCTTACTTCCATGGGCCTATTCGGCCCCGGCTTCTGCGCTGTATATCCCAAATGGGGCGGCTCTTCGGAAGTTGCACAGGTGGCGTGTCGTGCCGGAGCGGTAGGCGGCGGTATTTACATGCTCGATACCAAATCAAAGGTCAGCAATAGCTCAGATGGCCACGAGATCTCGCTTGAGCTGTCAAATGGAATATCAGTCCGCACGACGAAGCTGGTCACCTCGCAACAGGACGCTCTTCCTGGCGCGCAAACCATCACGCGGCTCATTGCCGTAGTCAACTCGCCCCTCAAATCCTTGTTTGAGATTGTGGTAGAAGGCGCTCCGACCCCAGTTGTCGCTGTGGTAGCCTTCCCAGGCTCAACAAGGGAGGACGGCCCAATCTACGCATTTGTGCATTCCAATGAAACAGGCGAATGTCCCGCCGGTCAAAGTAAGTTTTCACTTTTTCCTTTATATTTTCACCATACTTCTCCCTGGTGTTATGATGATCCAACATAACGAATACTTATCTACATTGTCCGAGCTTCGCGCTGAGGAAAACAACCTCTGACAAACTGATTGCACCAACTTCTCTATTTTGCATCTTGATTACTGCATGAAAATTGAGAAAAGATAGCTAACCATTGCTTCTATGGTATAGGCGTAATATACTTGACTACTCTAGCAAGTCCTCAATCCGCACAGCGGCTCGAGTCAGCTCTAAGCGATCTTCTGGCCGCTACTACTCCAGAGGGAAGTCCAACGCCCGTATGTCTGTACAAGCTACAGTACGAGCAATCCCTTAGCGCGCGAGAGCCTTCGAGCATAACCCGCGAGGAAACTCGCACATTCGCATTCCCGTCGCCATCTCTAAACCTCTTCTTTGACGATGGTTGTCTGGGCCCGGTTAAAGATGCCTGGAAACTAGTCATGGGCGATACCGCCTCGGGAGACGAGTACATGGTGTTCGAAGACCGCGAGGGCGTGGGTGATGACGAGGAGGTTTACGATTAGTTACTTAGTCCGCTTAGGTGTGAGTACATAGTCAATTAATCACCAGATACCTAAAGCAATAAATGAACAATAGGACTGATATTATTTGTCCCTTTGCATTAAGTCAACGTATCATATCTGTGCTAGGTCCCGTCCCTTGAGCCAGCGACAAAGCCAGCTTACCTTAGGTACCTAAAGCACTCCTTAAACGTACATACATCGAAGAAGTGAATACGACGCAAATTATAGACCATGACCACTCTCATCTCGCCTCGCGATATCCGGTCAAATGACCTGGATAGCGTTTATCATCCATCGGATCTAGTATACCTGTTCGAAAGCCAACACATACTATACTCTCTTGGAGCAATATTAACAACGCAAATCATCTCCCTTTCCGGATCTCAGTAGCTTATATCCTCGGTTCCTAGTGTCGGTGTCAGTAGGGTTGTCTAGAAGCAGGAGGAATCACCATGATAGTATTAGTGCGCACTCACATGTCTAGCCTCAGCAGAGATCTCATCGTCGCAATAGTAGATACCTAAATAGGTATACCAGACGTAATAAGGATGCACGTCGGTGAAGAATGCCCAACCGAAGCAACGAGCCCGGATATTATATGTGTACGACTCTAGTCCTTCTCCAGTTACACCTCAGCATCAGCAGTATCAGCTAGCTTGGCGCCGACCCAGATGCTGCCGAAGGGCACGTTAGGTTCGCCGTCCTGTTGGACTTCTAATCTACCTTTCGTCGCTAGGCAGAGTGTGTGATAGAAAGCCTGCGCGGCTGTCGCGCGCGGTGTCTCGCGGGGGACGAACACGTCGTTGAAGGCGACCCATCTGCGATTCTCGTCGAAATCCTCGTCCTGGAGACGCTCGCCGTTCTCGCGGATCGCCGAGTCTATGAACGAGAGGAAATTGCCTCCTTCAATATCAATAGTCGGCCACTCGTCCTTCTTCTGCTCGTCCGCTTCTACTTCGTCCTCTGCTAGTTGAAACCCGTCGAAGGAGTCATCTTGAGAGTGGAGACCGCCTAGATCGAAGCCGTCGTCGCCGAATGCCGGACCGTCACTAAAGCGCATGATGTCCTGGATATTACCGCGATTTGCTAGGGGACTGGATGGGATTCGGCCCTTTTGCGCGGAGCCGCGAACGGATGAGCCCGGCACAGCAGAAGAGCCTCGGTTCCAGGGCAGACGCAAGGCGGAAGAAAGATGATCGGACATAGCCGCCTGAGCATCTCGGCCAACTTCAGGTGGACTATGAACTACTTGTGCGTCTTGGTCGAAGACATAATCGTCTTCTATACCACGACCCTGCTGGTCGGCTTCACTATCAAGTCGCGGTTTGACTCGGCGCTCGTCTTGCTCGTCATCCTTAATGAGTTCGGTTGCAGATCGGCGTCTACGTCTACCGCGGGGTTGCTCAGGTATTCCAAGACCAGTAAGAGCAGTAAATAGGGAATCTCCCGAGAAGTCAAGGGCCAGCGGATGGACCATTCCAGGAACACCCAAGTTCTGTCCAATGTTTCCTAAACCAAGGCCGAATGTAAGTAGCATAGCATTCGCCTTTGCCTTTGCCTTTGCCTGTGCTGCTCCGGTTTGCCCCTTCCTAGCGCCACAGTTATCCAAGTATTCCCTTTGCCACTCTCTTAGGGTAGTTCTTGAGAGTTGCGTTTCTTCGTCAACAATCGGCATATGGGCTTTCCTCTTTCGTCGGGAGGGTGCTTGCTGGGGACTATCATCCAAGAAGGGATTATGTTCGTCTTGCGGTTGTTCCGTTAGGGGGTTTCCTACTTCTGGTTGCGCTGCTTCCATCATGACGATATCGCCTTCGCCATCAACATTTTGCTGACCCTGTTGCTCGCGATTCACATATTCCTGGCTCTCATCTTCCATTGGTGGGAGAGGGGGTAGGTCCATCTCGTCTTGGACTATGGCTGGTTCGTTCAGCTCAATGATGTTTCCGTTCTCGTCTATCTCCATTCCCCAGTCACCTGTTCCTGCGAATTCATCCTCTTGGTCGATAATAAATTGAGGCGCTTCGGGTTTCTGCGAGGATGAGAGCCCTTGAAGACCGAAAGGGGATCCTTGGGGACCAGGGGAATTTGAATGGCGTAGGTCGAAATGTATGTTGAAATCCGCACCTTGACTACCCGAGCCTGAAAAGAGGGTATTGTCAAAAGGAGACATCTGAGAGGATGTCTTATTTGTCGCTTGGCTATTTGCTACTAAAGCGTCGAGATCGAACTGCGGAAGACGCATGTCTGGCACGAAATCGGGATCATTCATGATCAAAATATTCTCTGGTCTGGCGAATAACCAGTCAGTCACAACCGGTCCCTCGTGCGCAGTATCTACTACCTTGAGCGCCTAGGGCTCTTACCTTGTCTGTCCTGCCTCTGGGTCGAGCTGGTTCGAACCAAATTTGGTGAAGAAGATATGCATATGCGCCTGGATCTTCTGCAAATCGGAAAGCATATAAGAGCATTGCTGGTTATAAACGCGTGATACTCCGTAGAGTAGATGACCCTGAAGGCGCAGGGCAACTGGCGCGCCTGGCTCGATGATCTTTCCACATGCCTTTTGCACATCGACTTCCTGTATTGCTTTCCGGGTCACCTTCCTAGTACTCGAACGATTTCCAACAGTCGCGATGAGCCTTTGACGCGTTAGCCAAGTCAATATATCGTTTCCCGACATAGCAGACGAGAGACTCTAAGGAAGAGCACCAGGAACAAAGTACTTACCATATAGTCGCAACGCCATATTGGCGGCTTGTGAGAACTACGACATGGTGTAAGTGATGGCCACACGTTTGATAAGGAGTTGACAAGGAGTTAGGACCTACTTTCGTGGCTGTAGAACATCGTGAAAAGGGGTTAGGGGGGTTTAGGGGGGTTGGCGCGTGACGCGTTTCGCGTCTAATCGATTCAAAGGGAAAGCTATGGCCTTAATATTAGTTATATTATAGGTCAATAGGACCCCAACAATGTTAAAGTTCATTTATTCACGACGGATAAGTGTTTGTGGGAATCGTAATGATGCTGAGGATGTTTGAGAGATAAGGGGGAAAGATGAAGGCGGGGCTGCTGAGTTGTTTCTGAGTTGCAACCTTGGAAGTTTTGTGGAAGTTTTTTATAAAAATATGAGGTGCACATGACGGCCGCTTTCTAAATCTCGGAAGGTGCTGGCTGTTAAGGAAGTCGCGCTGGACTTGCATAGGATAGCTAGGACCAGCAGCGCATACGTATGGCTGCTAGTTCAGTGGCATCGATACCCTGCCAGGTGCGTTAGGTACCTACACCCTTACACGTTGCATATAATACGTGTATGTAAGGTACCTGCATGTACTTCTAAAGTCGTAGGGCTGCAGTGCAGAAGAGGCTCGATGCTCTGTTGAATTATCATGTCACATTTATACCTTGTCGTTTGCACGCCTTCGTTAATTATTCATGTACGTGCTATTTTCCAAACATTTACCATTACCTATCTTGGTATATAAGGTAAGTAGAGGCGCGCTCTAGTCGCAATTATAATCACATTTGTAAAGCATTTTATTTCTATTACTTGAATAAAGTAAGGAGAGGTGTTTGAAGACTTTACTTGCTTGTTCCCATATTTCTTGTTTGCTCTTTCGCTCATGTATATTGTTAACTTGGCCGCATTCTCATAATGCACAATATTAATTGTAAAAACTTCTTACGTCTCTAATTATGTACCTGTTTACGGATATGATACTCGAATATAAACCTTTGGTTGTTAAACGGGTGATGGTGCTTCTGTTAAAAGCGATTATGATATTGGCGGTCTTTTATCACGAGTTGTTATGATAACTACCACAACCAATATAACCTAATATACACTAAAAATAATGTCTATAAAGTCAACCTAATCTCCCACCATATACATATCAAAATTAAGAAACAACTAGTACAACAATGCAAGAAAACTATTACGTGATATCCTTAAGTTAACATTTAGGTTAGGGCTATTTTTAATCGGGTATTCCCGAGAGATCTGATAAGGAATTCTCGTACAATAAAAGACTTCGTTTAAGGCATATCTTAAAAGAAATACATTTATCAATACCTTTCTAATACCGTACATGCATGAGGTATTTCGAGCCAATATCCAATAGTCGGAACAATAGCATTATATAATTCAGATAAACCAATCACACACCTCAATGATGACGAAGATCTACGACTGCATTTGCCAAGACGCCACTAACATCTCGAGTTAGGAAGTGTTCTAGAATCAATCTATAAAATGCCGCCCCTCATCCCTGGCTAGGTATTCACCTCAATCGAACCATTGTTAAACCTGGTGTTCTTATCCTATTTGCTTTATAATCTATAATTTGGGGGACCGTTGAAAGATTATCCTTATACCTGTTATGTTTATTTATCTTGACCACCCCCGTACCCGGTTGCGGTGATTGAGGAATAAGTTGACGCACACGATATCTCGGCCCTTCAGCTCCACAGGACCCTGAAAATCTTGAAGATCGATATTGGAGAATTGCCCCCCCTTCTAAATTTACTAGAAGAGCTACCTACGTACATATCATATTGGTATTGTACCGTCGACGTGGGCTTCTGTGTAATGGACCCTCTCGTCGCCTCCGAGCTCGCTAAGAGCGATGATGGCATTCCTTTCCGCGCCAAGGAAAATCATGTCCACAGCACTTGGGCGAAAACTTTCCTGTCGCGGCCAGAACTCTACCTTCAGCCGGAGACGTTACCTGAGATCGAGAAGATAGTGAGACTTGCGCACAAATGTCGTCGCCGTCTCACTACCGCTGGTTGCGGCCATTCGCCCAGCTCGCTGACCTGCACCTCGTCCTGGCTAGTAAATCTCGACAAGTATAATCGCATACTGTCCGTAGATACAGATACTGGCGTCGTGGTCATGCAGTCGGGCATAAGACTATATGCGCTTTGCGAGGAGCTTGAGAAGTATGGCCTTGCCATGCCGAACCTTGGTAGTATCAACCAACAGTCCATTGCTGGTGCTATTTCTACCGGTACTCACGGGTCAAGCCTTAAGCATGGTCTGATGTCCGAAGACATCCTATCTTTGCGCGTAACCGTCGCAGATGGCACCACCAAATTCTGCTCCTCCGAGGACGACCCTGAACTGTTTCGGGCGTCCCTCCTCTCTTTAGGTGCGCTCGGCATCATAACTGAGGTTACTTTCCGGGCCGTACCCGAATTCACCCTACGGTGGAAGCAGGTTATTGATGCTGACGTGAAGATGTTCGATGCGTGGGAAAGGGATCTCTGGACACAGACCGAGTTCGTCAGGGTTTGGTGGTACCCGTATACCCGGCGCGCAGTAGTATGGACTGCGGAGAAGACGGATGAGCCGCTGATAGATCCGAAAGTATCATACTATGACAACACTCTCGGCTACTACGTCTATCACAACTTGCTCTATGCCTCGCAGTTTTTCCCGCGAGTTCTCCCCTGGATCGAGTGGTTCGTTTTCGGCATGCAGTACGGGTTCCGGAACGGCACGACTAGCAGTGCCGTCCAGCCCAGCCGCAAGGCATTGTTGATGAACTGCCTATATTCGCAGTTTGTGAATGAGTGGGCCATTCCTCTCCATAAGGGCCCCGAGGCTCTTCGACGGTTGAGCAGCTGGCTCAATCAGCTTCCCCCCTCGGATCCGGACTACGTACCCCACAACATACCCTTCTCAGCCGAGGGCCTCTACGTGCACGCGCCCGTCGAAGTGCGAGTGTCCAACACGTCGCCTTCTAACCCGAAGTCTTTAACGCCGAACAGCAGGCCATATCTCGACCCGACAGCTGAGGACAGCCCGACGCTATACCTCAACGCTACCCTCTACAGACCTTATTACAGCGACCCGCCGTGTCGGGCTCGGTACTACGAGGCTTTCGAGTGGCTAATGCGGGATCTGGGCGGGCGACCGCATTGGGCGAAGAACTTCGAGACAGACGGCGCGGAGATCGAAAGCATGTATGGGAGCAGTCTACATCAGTGGCGAAAGGTTCGGGAAAGTGTAGATCCCGATGGACTATTTGTCGGCGCATGGCATCGACGATTCGTACTCGAGAGTGGACCCCTTCTCCCGCTTGAGGAGGTAGAAATCAAACGGGAGAAAAGGAGCCGTGCGGGAGGTGTGATATTCGAAGGTGTAGTTGGGACCGCCCGGTAGCCATCGACTTCCGTTTGGGTTAGGCTTATATTCATGTTCTTCGTCGTCTGGGGATGTAGGTTTGATGATCAATGTTGATGCAAATTCCCAGTTTATTTATGCAACACTTAATGGCCTTTTGGGCTTATGACATAGACTTGAGATTAGGCCTTACATAAAATAACGGGGTAGTAAAATTACCTATAGACTCTCTTTGTATCCCGTATAGAAGGTTATCAAATTAGACTGTGAGCCCCTGTCACATACCTACCTACCTATATGACTCATCATATGCAGTGTGTCAGGATTCTAGATGAGACATCTAGAACAAAGGAACTGTTCAGTATGTACAGACGATAGATCTTCATAGGTAGTTTAGAGTTCCTTGCGGAACAACGAAGTTGTTTCCATACTGTTTCGTTCCACCTCGTGACACAGTGGTGGTTGCAAGGAGGAGCGATACCTATCCGTTGCAGGAGCCAAGTTGAATGTAAAGAAGCTGCGAATGCTTCCATCTATTCACGTGCCTTCAAATGTAAAGCTTATATTATACGTCCATAGGATTTAATAATGCATGAGTAGATTTTTACATCTCATTGCTGCTGTTTTAATATCATCCATTCACCAACACTGATTGATCAAATATCAAAATAAGGATCAAGACATCCGAATAATATTCAAATTAACCATCATTAAGGGCCCCTTGAGAGCTTCTAGACCGCTTACGCTGTTCAACAGCGTAGACAGTATAGACATCCCGGATTCATTTTTTGAACAAATGGCTAACATCCCTTCCGATGAGGAGCTAAGAGATATTGACCCGGTACTGGAGGACTTAGCACGAACAATGGAGGACAAACTCGACCATAGACTAAGGCAGGTAGCGATGAGTAGCAGGTTAGATTCCAGGCTCCAAACGGCCGCTATCGAAAAATTCTTCTCAAATGAGGCTCACCATTTGCTACCTCCTGGATACTTCGGTGCAAACGGTGCAAACGGTACAAACGGTGCAAACGGTACAAACGGTATAAACGGTGCAAACGGCATAAACGGCATAAACGGTGCAAACGGTACAAACGGTGCAAACGGTGCAAACGGTGCAAACGGTGCAAACGGTGCAAACCGTACAAACGGTGCAAACGGTGCAAACGGTGTAAACCGTACAAACCGTACAAACGGTGCAAACGGTGTAAACGGTGCAAACGGTGCAACAGGTTTTTCATACACACAACATCAGATTTGGGCCTGGAAGGAATTCTTGACCTGCCCGCTGGGTGTTTCGGACGATGATTTATCTAAGGTGATCCGAATGGTACCAGAGATACCTATCCAGAATCATTTTAAGGAACCTGGAGCTGGGCGTTCATTCTTCATGGTGTCATGGTCGTTTTCATCAGCACAACTCGACCGTCTAATAGAATATCTGAAAGAGGAAGAGACTACATTCGAAGAGTTGCAGACATGGTCGAATTTTATCACTTCGCGGAATAATTTAGGACCTAACGCTCGCCTAACCGTCCGGTACATTAGTTCCGGCGCAGGACCATCGGACGCTCCGCTACCACTCACGATCGCTCAGATGATGGAAGATGAGTTTATTAATCCCTTTTGTGGAGTTCTCCCAGAGTTCCTAGAGGCAGTAAACGTGGCCTTGCCGGATGTGGCAAGGGATGTCCAAATGCACATCCTCCCCGACTTCTTCTCTTTGGTACATAACAACGAGACACGGTTTTGGCATCGTCTTGTATATCAAGCATTGCTCGTGGCATTCGACCTCGAGTCGCTTATCAACCGCGACCTGGAACCGCCCTTAGTACCTCAAGACTTGCCCAGGGGTGAATTTAGCTTGTTGAACACTGTATATCGCGGAGGCATGCCCTCGACTTTAATATCTAACCACTTGGTTCATATACAAAACAGGGCGAGACAGCTATTCCAACAAATGTACAGATCTTCTCAGTCTGGAAACAACCTGGACATCTTCCCGAGGGCCATGACCGTGGAGGCGCTCAACTCTCTCATACTACAGGCGACTCCTTTCGAACTTGAAGGGGAGCGGCCCGTACTGATATTTGCCGTAAAAGGCGTCCCTCCGGGTGATCTCTTTAATAGCAAAATGTACCTCGAGGGGGAAACTTCCGATGTATTGCTTATGAAGACTCTGATCGAGGAGGTGATGTTGGACGGGCGGGATACTGATTTCCATGGCAATATTGTCCCTTTTTATTGCTTTGCGCCTTTTTATAGACGGTTCAGTCCCGGATATATCAAGGAGTTTACTGTAAGCTTCTCTGTCTATTCGACAACCTCGCCTATTTCTAACCAATATGAACGTAGGCGTATATGTGGGATTACGTCAGGGCTACTCGTCCTGTGGTTTTTGTCACCCTGGGGAAGCGAATGGCCGAAGTCGTCCATAGAGCTTTTTGCACAGATCCAGCCGAGGACTCAGAATCGATCCCGATACACGAATTAGGACTGGGATCGCCCAGAATAATAACCTTAACGGGATCAGGCAGATCAAGAGAAGGACCTTTCAGCTTCATACACATTCCCCTCCTCGACCCTGGGCGGTACATGTATACGATGACACCGGAGACGCGGGAAGTGTTCCTGGCCTACATGACGTATTCTTTCGAGTACGTAGTCCTAGTGGCGGATACCGCGAAGATATTCAGGGACGAAATGGAGTCATCCGGAGGGGGTATTGATGAGGGTAGCGCTCAATTTTGCCAGGAAGTTATATTGCGGGTACGACGTAGGCTACGAAGTACATTGGGACGTCCCTTTGTGGAGGGCATAAGAAAGGCGAAATTCGATATCGCGGAGCTGATTACCCAGGAACCGATCATGTTTTGCTGAGGAACTTGGACGAGAGACGTTTTGTTCGTAGAGGTGAATAGGGGAAAGGAACTTTTGTTTCTAAGAAACGTCGTTATCATGACATTCAAAGCTACTCTTCTAGGCGGTTTCAGGGGCTGGATTATATGGGAATCGGATTATTGGGGAGCGAGTAAACACACTATAGCACGGAGTTGGGGCTGTCGTTTACTCTATTTACTCTACGGGTTGTCGTTCGTTAGATTATAGATTCCGTGTAGGGATATTGGCCAATATTTCGAGTACGCCTGGTATAATTTTTTATAGAAATCAATACGCAGGTAGACATACGCGCGAGCACTACTCACTACGCGGTATATCGACTCTGCCTACTTACCGCTAGAAGACTAGGTATCTAGGTACCTACCTAGGTAAGAGGTAGGTAACGACACTAATGTATCATATCGAAGATGGAGAGTCGATACCTACCTCCATGTAGGGATTCACCCGTGCGTAGGTAAGTAAGCATCTACCCGAGTGTCAAGTAACACGGACGGGTCCTTGCCATAGGGGGCGGATAGGTGGCTTTAGTGAAGATACCTGGTTATGTGGGTTGATCGAACACTATGTCAATTACACGACCGCTATTGATGTTGCTAGTTCGCTGTGGTATAGTATGATAGGCTGGGGGCGAGAGGTATACAAATGGGAAGATACTAACTACCTGATGTTAATGAACCTACACTGGGAGACGACTTATGCATACATAATATATCCAGACCTACTACTATTATCCACCATTTACTACTAGAATTAATTTCTAATGATATCTAACGCGTTTCACGCGTTCTACGTTTACCACCTAGGTTAGGTACATACCTGCAAGTATCCATTCGCGCATCCTACCCACACCGCTAAACCGGTAGAAAGCCTACCTAGGTAACGATACGATCTGCTCCCGAAGTAGCGGACTAGATTAGGTTTGTAGCAGACGCAGGAACAGACGGGCGGATCTGGAACCCACGTGAAAACCCAGAAGTGAGGCTAATTAGGTGCAGATAGCCGGATGACGTTGCTCCTGGGTGGGACGTGGACTGATGCGTTTGCACTAAACGGGCTGGGTTTTGTTTGGTTGATAGTGGGTTGGTGATGGATGGACAAGGCGGCGCGGGAGGCGGCATGTAAGTGATGCCGGTGACTGTGAGAGTTCGAGTGTTAGAATTTGACAAACGGAATGGTCGTTACGTTTGAACTTGAAGAATGCGGACGATAGTATGGGGAAGATAGTGTATGTAGGTCTCAGATGCCAAGCTGACGTCCGGAAATAGATACAGGCAGATTTGGTCTTGAAACGCCTCGCACATGGGCGCGGGATGCTACCCACACGATGCCCGCACGGTCCTCTTGCAGACCGGATGGGGAATGCGACTTGTCATTTATATATATACACTTATGGAAGAGAGTTGTCTTGATGGCATAGGTTCTATGGGTCTAATATTGGTTATTTGCATGGCGAGACAGCAATGCTGGAGGATTTCCACTCCCGTCGTGGTGCCTGAATGATAAAATTGATTGCGTGCAGCGGGCTACTACCCAATGTCCCGTCTGACTGCATGGGTGATTGGGCGGGAGAGGAATTGGACAAGATATTCGTGCCTTGTCCCTGACAAATATATGCATAGGGGCGTAATGAATACCTATTCAGAATAAAAATAGTTTATTCAATGTCTCTGCTGCAGACGGGGAAGAGTGACGAAGCTCCCCGCAGAGATACAAAAAAGACGCTCTTCAGGCGAACGCACAGACGGACCCGGAGGTCATGCGGATAAAGACGCTTCACGATCGGGCTAGAATCATGCGTTTTTTTGGCCGGATCTCTTAGTTCGAGGTTCGAGGCTCTCTCGGCTGTCTTGAAGGATGGTAGAGCTATTCAAGAACCCGCGGCCTCGGATGACTGCTTTCAGGTTTGTACCGCAAACTTTTGCAAAGTACCTCTACTTTGATGTTTATCTCCTGAAGATCGCTTACAGTATGTAAGTGTTATCTGTAAGAGGAGACAGAGTCGATAAGGCTGCCTCGCTAAATTGTCGTATCGAATGCAGATGGACTCATCTTGCCCCTCATATGCAGCCAAATCCAGTCGTATTTGTCATTCCTAATATGTAAATTGACGGCCAGGTGGGAACACGAAGTGCGAAGTGAGGAGCATCGGACGAGGGCCGAATCTGTAGTGTAAAAAGTGTAAGCGCTGAGGAGACGCGGCAGGGGTTGATACGATAGGCAATCCCAGAGATCTTTCTTCATTCCGAGGGCCAACTGCATGCGTCGAAGAGGGCTCTAAGCTCTAAGCCTACCGTGGGTGAGGGGACCGATTAGCTTCTGGACGGTCCTGGAAAGGATCCGCCTAGACGGGAAAATACATACACTACATTAGGTATAGTAGCAAGGCTTTCAAGGCTTTCTGCTTTGGCCAAGGGTCTTTGTTCTTTTAGTACGGAGCCTACCGAGTCAGTGAAACGCCGTGTGCCTTGTTAGATCGGCCGCGCCACGGTGGAATTTACATACACTGTGTAAATGTTGATTATTGGTAGCGATTTCTTTAGCAAAGATATCTGCGGCAACGTGTGATAGCGGGGCTGAAACTGTGCCACGATCCAAATTTGCGATTACTGTGCAAACGAAACCCACGACGCTTTGGGACGACAATGCCGACGATGGGGAAAAACAAGGTTTCGTCATCAACTCAATTCGAACGAAACTATGCTTTTTCGATAAGAAAATGAAACTAGCAATAGTTTAATTGTGCTGGGGTTCTAATCCCACATGGGCATCAACACATAACCACTCATGCAAGCTTCATGTAATTGTTGCGATTGTTGCAATTGTTTGCGGGAAGACAATGACGACATAGAGTGCATTATATTTATTTGTTCTTATGATAGCTTGCATAACGAAAATAGGTACATTTGGAAAAGTATCTCCACCATGAGGTAAGCCAGCACGCGCAATGCCCACGAGCGCACATGCCCTATCCGCTCCGATAGGTTGTTCCGTTCGTTGAATGCGCGCACCTAGCGCACCTACCTAACTCAACAACGATCTCCAGGAGTTCAATTGCAACTTCCTAATGTTCGTTCGATCTTTTCCAAGGTCTTACTAAGGGTCGACCTAATAAAGGTGGTGGCGGCCGCAGCAGTAGCCTACCATTTATACTACCATTTGTACAATCTAACTTATCATCTGTACCACCTGTACCTATCCTAATACTTCCTAATTCAAACCGCACTCGTTAATTAATCATTCCACCATCACCACCACCACTCCTCGTGTCCCATAACCTGTACTATCAACACCAACAAACCTTCGCAGCTCGCGTCTAGCGCTGGTCCTAGATTGCTTAGCCGTTTCTTCCTCGACTTATTCGATCGACACTTTTGCTCTTTCTGTTGCTGGAATTTTAATCGGAAATCCTCTTGCTTCATTCCATAGAGGAGGGGGTTTTATTGTACCTACTATCTCGCGAACAAAGAAAAAAAAAAGGAACGAACACTTCACATACCTTATTAGTGCCTAAGACCACGGTGACAACCCCCAAAGGTACAGTTTACTTCATACTTGTACAACTACTTGGATACCCCCTGGACAATACGGCCGCCGCCTTGGTTCTGCTTTAGGCTGGTGATACCCCCTGTCCACTTACATGGATAGGTCGGTTGGGTGCTTTTCGCAAGCGCCTAGGCCTGTCATTGATTCCTACCAACTCCGCAGCTGCCCACCAGCACATGGGAAGACTGCATGCTCCTCAATCGCTCAATCGCTCAATCGTCTATCTTCATTCATTGCCTTGCCGAATTCACCGAGCGACTTTATCTTCTTTTCTATACCACCAGCTCGCGAACTAACCCAGTGTCGAGTGCCTGGCTGGTTATCAGCTTTTCTCTTTTACGACTTTTGAGACACCGTGCTGATTGAAGGAACTACAGTTTGAACTACGTATTTACGCATATACCCGTACATCTTACTCTTTGCCGATGGTCAGCTGGTCTTAGGTTCTACGACATAGGTCTCACCACCATAACCCCAATAATAGCACGATATCGGCTCCATGAACTTTTTCTTTACCTTCGGATTCCCATCTTAGTCCTCGAAATCAATCTTGTTATCCCGCCATTATCGCTGTAATATTTATTCATTCCACGAATTACGTTAGAGGCCTGCGGCGTTTTCTGGACCTCGTGGTCCGCCAGTCGTCAAGCTGGAGTCGTAAGTTCCGTCCACCTTTTAGCGCGGGTCGCATAGCTTCATATCGCTATAATTGCTCCAGAGTTACTCTATCATGGCTACTCCAAATCAATAATACCATATATATAATCAAGCCTTTCCTCCCGTGCGCAACACTAACATGGTTTGGCTCAGCTTCATCCACGTCGCCGCCTGGTCGCAGCACCGGAGCCCAAGCCCCGGCCCGCAGCGCACCTTTGGCCATCTTCGATCGCTTTCGAGCATGTCTCCGTCTGCTATTTCCCGGTCGAGATCCCCGGCTAAATCCCACTCTTCGTCAAATATAGCTACCGAGATGATGGTACCGCCGACCAACGTCAACTCTCTTAGCGTGCCCGAACCTAGGAGGATGGCATCGCAAAGCTCTCTTATGGAGGATCAGGACCACAGCACCATTCCCGATCCTAGAACACGCGCCGCATCTATTGCGAGTAGTAATCTTCACCCTGATTTAGACCAGGAAGTCGCCGCGTTAAGTACGAAGCTCATCAACGCAATTAACCATCAAACTAGTCTCGACGACACGCTTTCGGCGACAAGGCAAGATTTGGAGGCTTCCCGAGAACGAATTAAAGAACTAGAGGCGACAGTAGCACGACAACACGAAATGCTATCTGGCGATGTTTGGGTTAAACGAAAAAATGTTGAAAGCGAAAAGAGCAAACTACTCGCGCGCATTGTCGAAGAGAAGAGATTACGAGCTGAGGTCGAGAAGGATAAAAAGAAAATCGAACAGGAGCTCGAGACATTAACAGTGTCCTTGTTCGAGGAAGCGAACAGGATGGTTATTACAGCCAAAGAGGACGCTAAGAAAGAACAGGATGCCCTTCACCGGAAGAATGAGCAATTAAAGGCGCAGCTAGCTGATACTGAAAGCATTTTAAGATCGCAGCAAGAACAGCTAGCGGAGCTCAAACTTGTCATGGAGCAGATGACGATCGAGCGCGAGGATCATTGTGGCACCGCGCCTTCATCTCCCGGATTTAGCAGGTTCGAATCGAGAGACGACGATAATCAAATATCCGAAGGTGGTCCGCACTCTGTTGTAGAGCAGCTTGTTCCTACATAC